ATATATTTATATATATTTATATATATATATATATGTATATATGAAAAATATATCAAAAATGTATGTGGCTACTCAAATGAAAGGTCTTGATGAGTGTAATGTCGAGGAGAGCTTATATTTTAAAAGATGTCAATAGTTCATAAGATACAAGGTCATTTCTTAATTATTGATATTTTTAAAAATATAAGCTCATCTTGATGTTATACTCATCAAGAGCTTTCATTTGAGTACCCACATACATTTTTGATATATTTTTCATATATACATATATATATATGTATATAAATATATAAAATATATGAAAAATTGATGTGGGTACTCAAATGAAAGGTCTCGATGAGTGTAACATCAAGATGAACTTATATATCTTTAAAAATGTCAATATTTCACAAGATAAAATTATAAATAATAATAAATTTTTTTTTTTTTTCAGGAGGAGGATTACTATCACTATTTTTACCAAACACAACTCGTGAACCACTTTCCTGACACCGGCAAAATAAAAAGTCAACATTTAAATATTCCATGTATAGTTCACACTCTGCATTTGTGAAATAAGAGCATTTCTAAACGTAGAAAAATAATAATAACAATAATGGAGATAAGAATCACGTGTAGCTAAAATTCATCAAACAACAGGGTAGAGATTAACGTAGTCTAGATATATATTTTCTTCAATAAAAAAATAATTGTATGTTATAAGACTAACTTAGTGTCACAAGCGTGATCTGAATGGCTGATAATTACTCAAAATGTTTAGTATTGAATGTGTGAGAAAATCAAATAAATAATAATCATTTTTATAATTAAAATGATGTTACAAATTTATCGATATTTAATAATATAGAATAGTATAGATCTATAGAAACGCTCAATTGACTTTTTCTATTATAATATATATTAAAAGAAAAAACACCTCGAACCGTATCTCCAATATTTTTGTATCAATTTTTCTTGCATTATTCATTCAATTTATTTTATTACTATACATTTTAATTTACTATGTAATAACTTTTTATTTAGAGACCGCAATTTTATTTTATTTTAGATATTATAATTTGTGATAAATCGCAAATTCATTTTTTGAAAATAAAAATTATAATTATAACATAAATTATTTTTAAATTTAATTCAATCCTAATTCATTATTTTCATGTTGAAAAAAAATTAATTATTAAACTTTATAGCAATAAATAAAATTAAAATTACTGGGGATTTAAAATAAATTGGTAATAAATAATAAAAACAAAAAATAACCTGGTTCAAATCCATGGATGTTTAATTTCTTGTTTTATTATTGATTTATAAACCATTAAAACTTGATTACAAAAGAGAATGAGATGAAATTACTCTCTTAACATCTTTTCCTTTTGTCTGGCAAGCTTCTTTTTGCTCAATTTCTTTTTCGATGGCTCTTCTTCGGTGGCTTTGGTAACCACGTCTTCTTTTTCAGTCAAAATGACTTCAATGTGACAAGGTGAGCTCATGTAAGCTGTAAAAAAAAATTTAATTTAAATTATCTATAAAAATTTATTTAAAACGATAATTTTAAATCTCAAAGTCGCAAAAGGTATAAATAAATAAAAAATATGAGTGAAAACTTACGGTTAATACGACCGTGAGCACGGTAAGTCCTTCTACGTAAGCACGGGGCATGGTTCACCTGAATGTGGTCAATGACCAGTCTGTCGACATCCAAACCCTTGTAATCAGCATTGGACTCGGCGTTACGCAAAAGCTGGAGCAAAAATTCAGCCGATTTTTTGGGCCATCTACCTTGGGTAGTTCCGAATTGCTTAGCTTGAGCGCAACGTCCAACTCCACCATTGAATCGTCTGAATGGGACGCACTCTTTGTGTTCCATTACAGCTTTAAGATACTTTTGAGCTCTTCTTAGAGTCAAATTTTTAATAGCTCTAGCTGTTTCATGGGTATTCTGTAATTTAACATTTTCTAAGTTATTAATTAGTTAAAAATAATTATTATTTGGAGTAAAATTAAAAGTTAGGTTTTTATATAAAATTATTTTTAAAAATGCATTTATAAAATGACACTGAAATAGACAGACGTTTAAAATTTATTTAATTAATTAAATTAGAACTAAAAATAATTTTTTATGACGTTAAAGTTAGCAGTTACTGGATAATTTTTCAATTTTATTTAACAAATAAACTTTTTCTAAAAAATTATTTATAAAAAAATTGCATTTATAATTTTTAAAAATTTTTACATGTCAATTATTTTTCTCATTTATTTTTGCCATAATTTATTTGTTAAAAAAATTCTAATAATTAATAAATATCTACTAAATTAATTCTCATGAATTTTTTTAACTTTCTTGTTATTATTTTTTAATAAAAAAAAAACTGTCAAATTAATTTTAATCTATTTAATTGACATAAATAAAGGGATGTCTGTTGCTCTCAGTACAAAATTCTTGTAGGAGGTGTCGAGAGTCACGAGTAATGATCACAAGATTTAGAGGTTAGTGCAGATTATGAAAAAAAAAAAAAATAAATACTTACTTTAAAATGTACCCTCAAGTTGGAACCGCGAGCTTTGCACGATTTGGTGATATTAGACGGCTCCTTAGAATAACGGCCCATTTTGTCTACAAATAAAAACCACTATTAATAAAATTAATAAAATTAACCTTACAAACAATATGAACGCAAGCAACAAGCCAGCGTGTTACTTGACACTAAATATTTATCAGTCATTCAAGATTCGACCAACAATAAATAACTATTTAATAAAAACAAAACTTTAAAATTTTATCTTTTATTTTAAAAATTTTTTATTCATTAATATTTTGTCTAATTAAAGATGTAATTAGATTTTTTTAGCAATTCAGATTCGAACATACCTTCGTGCGATACGCTTAGGGAAAGAGAAAGACCGACCAACACGGTGTTAAGGACGTGGTTTCAACGGAACTAGAATTTCCGGGAACAAGGCGCCATCTTGTGGATTTTTCAAATCTTATCAACTAAATATACTCAAATTGTTGCAAGTTCTTGGAGCGTTTTTTCCTACTTATTCCTCTAATTACACGTAATTTATTTTTAGTAAATAAAAAATAATTAATTAAATAATTTTTCTAACCTTAAAATATTTATTTTTATATTAAATTTATTAATTCTTTTTTTGGAATTTTATTTTGGAGTTTTTGAAATATTTTTTAGGGAGTGAACAGGAACTTTAGCAAAAGTGAGCGTAGCTGTCAATAAAAAAAATATTCTGAGTGACAAATAACAATTAGTGATAAAAATATATTAATATTGACAATATTAATTTAATTTTCTAACATATTGTCACAACTATTGTCAATAAATAATTGTGCAGTAAATTAATCATTAATTAAAAATAAAAAGTAACTTTATTGATTTATTCGGTGAAAGTTTTATTAAAGTAATTGTTTGGTTAGTTTTTTATTGATAATTAGTTATTATTAAAGTCAATAATATTTAATTAATTAATTAATTCAAGTGTTATAAAAAAAGTAATTTGTTTTATTAAACAAAAAAAAGTTTATTTTCCAAGTCATGAATTATATTTTTTAATCATTTTCTTGTTAATAAATAAATAAATAATTAAAGTGAATTTTTGATTAAAAAGTAATTTAAAAGATTATAAAATAATTATGTCGAAAAATAAATTGAATTTAACACTACCTGCTGGGTCTATTGAACCAGCACCGGTGGTATCTCCATCGCCACCAGTACCTCCTCTTCCAAGCTACCCGGAACCACCTGTAATACCTGAGTAAGATTAGTTTTTATTTTATATTATAAATATTTTAAGTTGTAAAAATTATGAAAATTAAGTTAGCCGACATTTAAAAATTTTTAGAATTTTTTTTATTAAAAAAAATTTCATTTGTAAAAAAACTTCAAGTGTAATTTTTGAAAAATATTTTTTTTGGTCCAATTAAATAAATAAAAAAATTAAAAACGTCGGGTAACTTTAGTATTATGTAAAAATTCGGTAAATTTATTATTTAATAATTTTTTCAGCGGTGTAATGGGAAAAATCAGCATTGATGCGATACAAGAAAGATTAGAAGAGTTAGAGATGGACGAGGAGCAGAGAAAACGCTTGGAGAGTTTCTTGGGACAGAAGGAGCAAGTCGGCGAGCTCTGTGATGATGATTTTGAAAAGCTGGGCGAGCTGGGTGCTGGCAATGGGGGTGTTGTTATGAAAGTCAGGCATAAAAAATATGGTTTGATTATGGCACGGAAGGTAAATAAATTTTTGTGGAAAAAAAATATTGATTTATGTATGATTGATTTATTTACTCGTTGATTGTTTCAGTTGATACACTTAGAAGTTAAGCCGGCGATTAAGAAACAAATTATTCGGGAGCTTAAAGTACTTCATGAGTGTAATTTTGCTCATATTGTTGGATTTTACGGAGCATTTTACAGGTAATTTATTTAGATTGTGAACTATCTTGTAAACTATTGACATTTTTTAAAATATAAGCTCATCCCGATGTTACACTCATCAAGACTTTTCATTTGAGTACCCACATCAATTTTTCATATATTTTATATATTTATATATGACATATATATGAAAATTCATGTGGGTACACAAATGAAAGCTCTTGATGAGTGTAACATCGCGATGAGCTTACATCTTTAAAAATATCAATAATTGAAAAAAAAAAAATGACCTTGTATCTTGTGAACTATTGACATTTTTTAAGATATAAAATAAAATAAATAAAAAATAATTATTAAAAAAAATTTATTTGCTTATAATTATAGTGACGGAGAAATAAGTATATGTATGGAGTACATGGACGGTGGGTCACTGGACTTGATTTTAAAAAAAGCAGGCCGTATACCCGAGCCAATTCTCGGAACAATAACATCAGCGGTAAGTCTAAAATCCTTACAAATTAAAACAACTTTATTAACAAATATACACTTTTATTTAAAAACAATTTATTTTCTAACTTTAATAATAAGTTTCACTATAAATAATACTCTTTGGATAATTTCTGATACAATATCTTCTGAATTCATCGTACCCCCACAAAAATAATCCAAGAGGCAAACAGGGTAGAAACCAGTAAGGATCAATCGGGAAAGTTTTAAGAATTCTTCCAATACCGGGCGTGTATAAAATAAAAGCCGTCAAAAATATTTCAAAAATAAATGAAATATTCAAGAACCAATTATCCATTCCCTGTTGAATCAGAGAATTCCTCCTAGTTTTGCACATCAGCAAGTCAATCATCTGAGTAGTAACAATCGAGATAAAGTACCCAGTCCTCGCTTCGCTCAGCAGCTCCATGCGGCTTTGATAATTCCACATCTGTCCATAAGAATCCTTCAAATCATCAATATTCTTATTCTCCCAATCTTGTCTCAGCCCAAACAAATCTCCAGGCAAGAACCCATGATAGCCCAGAATAAAAAAGTAATTAGTGAAACCTGCCAGCGCCTGAGTCATACCGATTTGTCCATAAGCCACCGAAATAAGTCTTTTGTTAACCAATTTATCGTACTGGGGATTTCTTGGAGGCCGCTTCATAATATCCGACTCAGCTTTTTCATAAGCGAGGGCTATTGCCGGGAGCATGTCAGTCCCAATGTCAATGCACAGCACCAGTTCCATGACTAAAGGCAGCGGAATTGAGACAATCAGGCCGCTTAGCACCGGTAACATCTCCGGAATTCCCGAAGTTAGCGTATAGGCAATAGATTTTTTCAAATTATCAAAAATCAGTCTGCCTTCTTCAATCCCCGTGACGATTGACGAGAAATTGTCGTCCATTAGCACCATATCCGCCGCGCTTTTTGCAACATCCGACCCTGTAACACCCATCGCAATGCCAATATCTGCTTTGCGTAGCGCCGGAGAATCGTTAACTCCATCACCAGTCACCGCGACTATTTCTCCAAGCCTCTGGCAGCTTTCAACAATTATCAATTTTTGCTGGGGTGACGTTCTAGCAAACACTATCTCTTCATAACTTTTTATCAGATTGTCCAAATCATTGTCCGTCATAAATCGTAATTCTGTTCCAGTTACAATCACCGCTTTGTAATTTTCTTCTACACTGTTAGAATTTGAAGAGATATTTGATAGTTTGTTGTTAGCATTAGCATTATTATTCATAAATTTAGTATCCAAGTGGAGCAATTTTTCAAAACGAGTCTCGTGGCCCTCGCCGATGATCCCCACCATTTTGGCGATAGCCATCGCAGTCACCGGGTGATCACCAGTCACCATTATCACCTTAATCCCCGCGGCGCGACAAGTATGAACCGCGTCGGGCACTGAAGGCCTAGGAGGATCCAACAAACTTAACAGTCCCACAAATCTGTAACCTTTCATCGGAAAATTGTAGTTCTCAATCGCTGAAGTGTCAAATTGGTGATCCTCAGCGTAATCTTTAAATGGGAGGAAAAAATCGCAGTAAGCAAGAACGCGCTCACCCAAAAACCCCAATTCAGTGCAAGCGTGTCTTATTTCCAGTGTATCTTGCGGAGTCAAAGGTCTTGTGCTTCCATCCATTAATAAAATATCATTACAAAAGTCCATTATAACCTCCGGAGCTCCTTTGATGAATATATTGAAGCCCTTTTCGTCTCTATGTATCGAAAGTTGGTATTTAGTAACTGAATTGAACGGAATTTCAGCTACTTTAGGATAATTAGCGCGGTATCTCTTCGTAGAGTGAATATGCTCGCAGAATCTAATGATTCCCGTCTCAGAAGCGTCACCAATAACATCACGATCTTCAATTCGTATGAACAAATCCGAATCAACGCGAAATTCAGCTCTCAAGCACAAAGTAGCGGCTTTTATCACGGAATTGAACGCTGGTTTTTCGAGCAACAAGTCTCGCTCTACTCCCAGATTACCTAACACTGCCGACACATGATGCCGAATATTTCCGAACCAAATATTAGAGACAGTCATCTTATTGAGCGTCAAAGTACCCGTTTTGTCGGAGCATATCGTCGAAGTGCTTCCTAGTGTTTCAACAGCTTCCAAATTGCGGACGAGGCAATTTTTGCTGGCCATTTTCTTAGCCGTCAAAGTGAGACTTGTTGTGACTGTCACCAACAAAACTTCAGGTACATTTGATATTACGATGCTCAGCAAGTAAAGGAAGCCTTTCATGATGCTCCCTTCGATTACCACCGAAACTGTGAAGAAGATTATTCCAAAAACTAGAGACACAATTGAGATTATCTTAACAAAGTGCTTTATTTCTTTGGCGATCGGGGTTTCGTCCTTGGAGACTTGGGTGGTCAGCCCGGCCAGGCGGCCTATCATTGTCTTATCTCCAGTGGCAATAACTATCCCCGTGCCTTCTCCTGCGACTGCATAGGAAGAAAAAAACGCAAAGTTCTGCGATTCAAGAGGATTTGGGTCTGTTGGATAGTCCGATCTAGGAATTGGTTCGCTTTCTCCGGTGATACTAGAGTTCTCAACTCTTAAACCAACTGATCTTATAATCCGTATGTCTGCTGGAATTTTGTCACCTAATCTTATCTCGACAATGTCTCCTCTGACGACTTCCTCAGTTGGAATCAGCTTTTTTTCCCCGCTTCTTATCACTAACGCGAAAGTCGGCACCATTCGGGTGAACGACTCCATCACTCGCGAGTTCTTTCCTTCTTGGATGTAAGAAAATAAACCGGATATCACGCAAATTACAACGACCATCACTCCGAACCATTCTATGCCCTCTTCCTCGGTGTGGCCCAGAAGGATTTCTACCAAGTAAATAAGGAAGCAGAGCCCAGCGCAAATCCACAGGAGGATCGCAAACCCGGAGAACATTGATTTGAATAATTTTACGTACTCTGGAGTTACTTTTGGAGGTGAAAGAGCATTAGATTCTTGAGCCAGGCGCAATCGAGCTTCTTCGTTGGTCAGTCCGGTTTCTATGTGGGTGTTTAGCTTTAAACACAGCTCGTCTAAGGGGATTATGTGGTCGTCTGTTTGCAATTCTTGATGCAGGTCTATTATTTCGTCGTCGGTTAATTTTTTCTTTTGCAACTGAGGAGCTGGTCCTTTTTTTGTTGATAATAATGATGGCCCTGCTAATGACATTATTTATTTGTTTATTTATTTTAATGTTTATACTGAGATTGAGGTTTGATTATAGTACTTGAATATTGCTGGTTTTTGTTTTTTGTTTATATTGTTTTATATAAAGTTGATTATACATATAAACATTCTATAAGTTTAAATGGTAATGATTTTTTTTTTTTTTTAGGTTCTCAAAGGACTGAGTTACTTGAGAGATAAACATGCAATAATGCATCGTGATGTTAAGCCAAGTAATATATTAGTTAACAGTGCTGGGGAAATTAAAATATGTGACTTTGGAGTCTCGGGACAGTTGATTGACTCAATGGCTAATTCATTTGTAGGCACTCGGAGTTATATGTCGGTAAGTTTTATTTTGACAAATAAATTTGTAAATTTATTATTATTTTTTTTATATTGGAGCAGTTTGTAAATAAATTTTGTGATTTTTATTTACAGCCTGAAAGATTGCAAGGTACTCATTATTCGGTACAAAGTGATATCTGGTCACTGGGATTATCACTCGTTGAAATGGCTATTGGAATGTACCCGATTCCACCGCCAGATACTAAAACATTGATATCGATATTTGGACCGCAAGTTGTTCAAAATCTAGAAAATACGACTGCTAATAATAAATCGACACCTACACAATCGCCAGCTCATAGTAAGATTAATTAAAAAATTTATTTTTCATATTAACACAATCTATATTATTACATCTTTAAAAATATCAATAATTAAGAAATGACCTTGTATCTCATGAACTATTGACATTTTTAAAGATATAAGCTCATCCCGATGTTACACTCATCAAGACCTTTCATTTGAGTACCCACATCAATTTTTCATATATTTATATATATTATATATACTATATATATATATGTATATATGAAAAATATATCAAAAATTGATGTGGGTACTCAAACGAAAGCTCTTGATGAGTGTTGCTAATATAAATTACTTACATTATAATTTTTTTTTATTATAGGTGCAAGTAGCCCACGACCTATGGCAATCTTTGAATTGCTGGACTATATTGTCAATGAACCGCCTCCGAAATTACCAGCTGGGATTTTTACAGACTCTTTTACTGATTTTGTTGACCGCTGTTTAAAGAAAAATCCAGCCGAACGTGCTGATTTAAAAACACTTATGGTAAGTACATTTATTTTATATAATAAAAAAAATTATTACTGACTCAAAATATTATTGAGTTAATTTTTTTTATCCAAAAAAATTTAATAAAATATTATAGAGCCATGAATGGATCAAAAAAGCTGAATCCGAGAATGTAGACATCGCAGGATGGGTATGTCGAACAATGGATCTGCAACCCACAACTCCAACTCGTTTAGCGAACGTACAGTCTTGAATAAATGTCACTCTTACATACTTGACAACATACATACACGTTCAGTACTCCTAAATGAATGTTTATTATTTCGTCATAATAATTTTTTTTAAAATAAATTTTTTACCTTGATTTGAACGATTTGAACAGTGGCTCTTTAAATTCAGATCTTTCACTTCTTGGATTATATATAATATAAATATATAATATAATAATAAGAATGATTGACAAATCGATGAATTAATAATTAAATCCAAAAAATTTGGATTATTTATTAATTTCCGAGTTATAAAAATTAAAAGCGAGATTAATTGATAAAATTGTGCTTATAACATAAAATAATCTATTGATAAATTAACTATAATTATAATACTAACTGTAAGTTAAGTAATTATAAAAAAAAAGTCGCTTACACTTGTGCATTACACGCCACTGTGCTTGAAAAAATTCATATATTATTTTTATTACTTAATTAATATTGAGTATTGATTTTTTTTACTTTATATTTAGTTACCTTATAAAAGTATGTAAGAAACAATTAATAGTATATATTTAGTATCGTTATTCTCATGAGCATCGCTGTATGTTACTGTGATAAGAATCTTATTCGATGAACAAGTAATTAAAAATAAATATATTAATTAACATCAGCTATAAATATAAAACAATAAACAATAGTTTATAGATACAATAGTTCCTATTTAATAAATAATATAATGTATATGGGCATGACTTTTTGAAAGACACTATTCTAAACTAATTAGCTAGATTGTTTTTAATGAATTTTCACATGAAAGCTATAGTGTTTTCTTATATTTATTTTAATTCAAATAAATCAATTTTTTTCTGTAAATTAGTTGATAAATTACAAACAACCTTGCAGTCATTATGTGACTGCCGTGACTTGTGAACTATAAATAAAATTTTACTTTATTAAATAATTAATTTTTTTAAATTGCACTGTAGTTTTTTAACTATTGAAGTTTTTTAAGATATAAGCTCATCTCGATGTTACACTCATCAAGAGCTTTTATTTGAGTACCCACATGCATTTTGATTTATTTTTCATATATACATATATATAATATATATATAAATATATGAAAAATTGATGTGGGTACTCAAATGAAAGGTCTTGATGAGTGTAACATCAGGATGAGCTTATATCTTTAAAAATCTCAATAGTTCACAAGATACAAGGTAATTTCTTAATTAAGTATCTAGAGATAGAGCATTTGCGAATGCAGCCTAAATACTTATCATCGTAAATTATAAATTGTTAATTAACAAAAAAAATTAAGAGGGATAAATTTTTTTAAATTATATTGGCTTAAAACCAAAAGTAAGAAAATACTATGGCTGTCAAGTACAAATAAAAAATTATAATAATTAATTGTTTGTGTTCAATTAAAATAAATGATTTTTCACAAAAAAATATATTTAAAAAGGTAATATAACAACTTGACTGTTTTTGTTAGACATCGTAGACCGATGTAAAAGTCTTAACGCACTTTGTTAAAATTTTAAGAAGTATAATCAATGCCTCAACAAAACATATAGTATTGAATATTAATGGATTTATAAAAAAAAATTTAGTTTAAAGGAATAGAGTCACTTTTTTATCACGCTACTATAAGTGTCGTGGTAAAAAAAGAGAGGAGTTAAATAGATTTAATTAGGTATATAAAAATATAAGTTAACTTGTTAATAAACTGCGTGAAACGCTAAGAACTGATTTTTTATAATTTTCTTTTATTCCAGTATCTCAGAAAAGAAATTTTAATCCTAATGTTTTCACTGATAATTATTCAAATAATTATTAAAATAGCCCATTTATTATTATTAGATTAGTTATTATTATTATTAGATAACATTAATTGATAATCATTGTAAAATTGTTAATCTTCAATTTCAAAAAGCCATATGTTTTTATGTATTTATTATAATTATTATTAATTCATTCATATAAAAAATAATTAATCGTTAATTATAAAATATAAATGATAAATTATAATAATGTGTATTGGTTTATCATGTTATAAAAAAATATAAATATAATTAATCAAATTTATATTTTTTGTCATTTTTCTAGGATAATTTTTTATATAAATTTAATTAATTATTAATTTATTAAATTTTATTTTACAAAATTTTATAAAATAAAAATTAAAAAAAAATTTTATTTAATTAAAAATTAAAACTTACTTTAGAAGTAAAAAAAAAAAATTAAATTTTTATTTTTAAAAATTAGTGTTTTATTTTTCTGTCATTAGCATAGAGCGCCACCTGTAATAAAATTGAACTGTTCGTTAAATAGTTTAAAATAATTTGACATGATGGCCTTACTATAATTTTTTTGAGGTTAATATTAATTATTCATTCGCACTCCTTATCTGTATTCTCCATGGACAGTATGTGTAATTACACTTAGATTATTAAATATATGTTCCATTATTTCTGATGAGTTTTTCAAGTTGTCCATTACATGGAGAGTGTCTAACACTACTACTTCCGGACAACGTTAAAGATCACTAATTAAAATAAAAAAACAAGTGCTGCAGTGTTAATATTAATTATAAATTTTTATTAAAATCTAAATATTTAATTATCAAAACTTTTTATTTATTTTATAAACAGCGACTTGATAAAAATTATTATTTAATAAAAAAACCTCAAATGACGAATCCAAATAAATTATCGAGACGCAGTTTCTTACGGCAAGAGATCGCAGTAAGATGATTAAATGTTTTGTTAATAAAGTATGCATTACTGAAGAAATTAAATATGAGTTGAAGACAATTATTAAAAATGAGAAAATCTCATCAAAATATTGCTGCAGTGGATGCTGCTAGCAATGCAGACTCCCTTGAGATTACCAGAAAATTGTACAGGTTAAAAATTTTTATTTTATGTGTATTTTGTGTGCCATTAAAGTTAGACGACGTTTTTAATTTTTTTTAATTGTTAAAATTAAATTAGAGCTAAAAAAATATTTTTAAAAAATTGGACTTAAAGTTTTTCAAGTTTTTTAGAAATAATAATTTTTTTTTTTATATTTTTTTTCAATAAAAAAAAAAAATTCTACAAGTTTTAAAATGTCAGCAGATTTTTATAAAATTTTAATAAATTTTTTAACAATTAAATTATGGCTAAAATAATTGTAAATGCAATTTTTTTTTAAATTATTTTTTGGAACAAATTTGTTTGTTAAAAAAAATTAAAAAATTATCATTTAATTAATATTTAATTATAATTTTAATTTGTAATTTTTTCAGAGGAGTTACGGACGTAGCTAAACGACTTGACGAGCAAAAAGCATCAGCGTTAACGATTAAAGATATATTTACGCCGTCAGGTGAAATCTTACGTGGCAAATTGAAAGATTATTGTGAAAGATTAATTTTTAATGATCCAATTGGCCATGCACGAAAAATCGAGGAGCTTTTGTGGCGTCGTGCATTCTACGATGTCGTGTCGACAGCTAAAAAATTACGAAAGGTAAAATATTACAATTTTAATCGGATATTATTTTAATATCAGATAACAAAATGATAAAAGTTTACTTTCATAGAATAATAATTATCTTGGTTTATTTATTTTATTCGCGATATTTTGTGGGCTTGATTAAAATTTTATCAGGTGACAAAATAATAATTATTGAATAATTAACACGTGTTATTTATTTTTGGAATTTTAAATAGTATCTTGCTAAATTTAATCAATAAATCAAGACAATTGACCTTCATGCTCCATTTTATGTTGTTATGATAATTTAATATAATTGTATAATTTTCAGGGAAATGTTTGGAATGATGTGGAAAAAGCTTTGTTATCAACGCATCTATCAGTTGGTGTGGGATTTTATCATCATTTGATCCTGAAGCTTCAATTAGAGTGCGGGCTTGATTTGGCAGGCATTGTTGACTTTGCTTATCCACAACAGAGACATGGTTTATCAGATGTAAGTTTAATCAACAGTTGTACTAAATTATCTTTAGTAACTACTTTTTTAACTATTGACGTTTTTAAAAATATAAGCTCATTCCGATGTTACACTCATCAAGAGCTTTCAATTGAGTACCTACATGCATTTTTGATATATTTTTCATATATACATATATATAGTATACATAAATATATAAAATATATGAAAAATTGATGTGGGTACTCAAATGAAAGCTTTTGATGAGTGTAACATCGGAATGAGCTCATATCTTTAAAAATGTCAATAGTTCACAAGATACAAGGTCATTTCTTAATTGTTGACATTTTTAAAGATATAAGCTCATCCCGATGTTACACTCATCGAGATCTTTTATTTGAGTACCCACATCAATTTTTTCATATATTTCATATATTTATATATATTACATATATGTATATATGAAAAATATATGAAAAATTGATGTGGGTACTCAAATGAAAGGTCTCGATGAGTGTAACATCGGGATGAGGTTATATCTTAAAAAAAAAAATCCTTCAAAAAAATTTATTGTCTTAAATAATCAACAATCTTAAAATTGCAATATCTTACTAATTTACATTCTAAAAAAATAAATAATCTTGTTTAACAGCACGGAGAAAAAAACATCACACCTAAATTCAAATCCGAAGAAGCTCAACAATGCGTAATTCGTATAATCCATCGCAGCTTAATCTGCTTGGGTGACTTAGCGCGTTACAAATTGGATTTAGATCCCACTTGGGATCCAATGATAGCCTCTCGATACTACAAAATGGCAATAACAATAGACCCGAACATCGGAATGCCTCACAATCAATTAGGAACAGTAGCAGGAATAAAAAATTACGGCGTCGACGCTGTGTATCATTACATGCGTTGTATTTTATGTTCAGAATCATTCGAAGGCGCTGAAGGTAACCTCAAGCGTATTATATCATCGCACCTGTTCACTGAAAAAGAAAAATTACCTTCACAAAGATGCGCTGCTCGTCTTTTTACTCTTTTGCAAAAGTGGAACAACGGGACACCTGTTAATACAGATAAAATTAATGAAGATTGTCAAAACTTGCTGTATGATATCCAGACTTGTATGACTGCTGACAAATTAAACCCTCAAAAAAATAATCTTAATTCCAACACTTCTGAAAATACTCCCGAAAATAATGACAGTGACAACTTACCTCGGACAATTGAAGAGTACTTACAAAATTGCAAATCTGAACAACCTTCACCCAACCTAAGCTTCGAAGTTATCTTCAAAATGGTCTCTATTTGTTTGATGTCAATATCAAAATTACAATTAAGAAATTCTTCACAAGTCCACGGAGTAATTGCATTTGTTTTATCATTACTCTCACAGTTGCTACAAGTTGTAATAGATAATTTGCAAAAATCAATTGTTGAGTGTCTTCCGAATGGAGTGTTGGTTAAAGAAGAACAAATTTATGTTGAAGAAAAGCTAATTGTTGAGTCAGAAAATTCTGAAGAAATTAACAATGATCTGGACGTTAATGACAATACTAAAAATCTTGCTAATGGACATTTAATTAATGGAAGTGTTAAAGATAAAATTAAAGCTAAAGGCAAAGTTAGAAAGAGTTTGTTAAGTAAATTTCGTCGTCGCAAGCGCATTAATTCTTCTGATTCTGATAACAGCGACTTGGAAATTCCGCACTCGGATGATTCAAGTGATGATTTTAATTCTGATATTTCAGAAAATGAGGAAGATTGTGTTCATTCAGATGCTGATGATCTTACTGAAGATGAAGTTGAAGTTGAAGAAAATGTTGGTTTAGCCAATGGTGCTATTTTTGATGTTCCAGAGGTTAATTCAGTAAAAGAAGAAGAAATTAAATCAGATTCTAATGAAATTCCTTCAGAAAATGGAACAATTAATTATTTATTTCAAAAAAAACACGTGGATTTAAATAACTACTTCAACTTGTTAGCAAAAGAAGGATTGTTTTACTCGATAAAAATGTGCTTTGATTGGCTAAAAAGCAACCCGGAGATTATTAAGTCAATTTGTAATAGCTTATTATTAGAACGTGTGGCTACTTTTATTAATTTGATAAATATTGACAAATATTATGATGTTCTTTTTGAGAAATGGGAAAAAGATCGCGAGGTTAGTTTGAAGGCTGATAAATTGCAGGAGTATTGTAAAACAGTGCCACTTCCGGAAGATATTGATTTACGCGGATTAAATGTTCTGGAAAATGCTCACAAAGATATTGATTGGCAGATACTGAGGAAGTTGATGATCAGTAAAAATGAAGAGGTACTTTTGAGAATCGTCAAGCTGGTTGATTTTGGAAATTTTCTGAGTAATATTGAGGGCTCTGGTTTTATGTACAATGAGGAGGATAATTTGTTTGCGGTTGCTCAGGCGGATAAAGAGAAACAAATAGATTTGATTAAGAAAGAGGAGGAAGGAACGGAACAGGAAGATCGCGTTAAAAATGATAATGAAATAAATTCAGAGCACCCAAGGGGAAAATTAATGCGTCATATGGGTAAATTGTGGTTGAAAGCTGAGGTACGAGCGTTAGAAACTCGGCTGAGGTCTAAATTAATGTCACCGTACCTGGTTGTCGATCATGAAGCTCTTACTAAACACACTCCAACGCTCAAGCGTTTGGTTTACGCTAAAAAATTTGTGATTGTTATTCCTTCAATTGGTAAGTTTTATTTGGTTTAAAAAATTAAAATTTTGTTTTATTGGATAATTACTTTTTTTTTAAATTGCAGTGTATTTTGTTAAATATTGACGTTTTTAAAGATATAAGCTCATCTCGATGTTACACTCATCAAGAGCTTTCATTTGAGTACCCACATCAATTTTTCATATATTTTATATATTTATATATATATATATATATATATAAATATGAAAAATATATCAAAAATACATGTGAGTACTCAAATGAAAGGTCTCGATAAATGTAACATAGGGATGAGCTTATATCTTTAAAAATGTCAGTAGTTCGCAAGATACTAGGTCATTTCTTAATTGTTGACATTTTTAAAGATATAAGCTCATCCCGACGTTACACTTATTAAGAGCTTTCATTTGAGTACCCACATACATTTTTGATATATTTTTCATATATACATACATATATATGATATATATATAAATATATAAAATATATAAAAAATTGATGTGGGTACTCAAATGAAAGGTCTTGATGAGTATAACATCAAGATGAGCTTATGTCTTAAAAAATGTCAGTAGTTCACAAGATACTAGGTCATTTCTTAATTATGTATCTAGAGATAGAGAATTTTAGAATGCTCTTAATAATATAGATTATAGAATAATTTTTTTAAAATTATTTTTATCTTTTTTGCTTAGTTGTTTCGGCGCTGGATGAAATGAAACGTACTAGTGGGCGAGCACGTGAAGCAACAAGGTGGTTGGAGAATCAATTGCAAAAAGGATCACGTTTCTTGCGAGCTCAGAGACCACAAGAACGTCTTGCGCTTCCGTTGATTAAGGGACCTAGACCTAAGGATAAAGAGGCCTGGCTTTTCTTCCAGATTATCGAGTGTTGTCATTACCTTACTCAGCAAAATAAAGTCGGTCTTAGTAGCGATAATGAAGCGCCTGTTGTTACTTTGTTGACTGGTATCAGTACCGAGGAGAGAAAATTGTCTAATTTTTGTCCAGATGGTCTAGCAAAAAGTGCAGGTTTGTTTTTTTTTTTAATTACTTTTTGTTATTTTGTTCTTTTTTTTTTTTTTTAAATAATTTAAATAATTTTTTTTCAAGCTCTTTAAGATTTTTATTTCAAGCTTATAAAATACAAAAATAAAAAAAACGTTAATTTTTTTATGTTTTAGGTGTTAATTTTGAACACATTGAATCATTTCACACCAAATGGAAAACATCAAGCAAAAGTCACGGTTGAAAATAGTCGATCTGAAGAAATATGTGTTTCAGCTGCCATTGATCTGATGTCAATGTAATAACATCCACAATAACTCACGCCCTCGAACAGTACCGTTAATCCATGATGGTCATTCAAGGGCTTAGAGGGTTGGAAACCCAAGAAATTACATTAAATTAAAAAATCAATTTTAATAAAATATTTTTAAAATTTTAACATCATATCGAGTGAAAATAGACATGTACTGTCATAATAATTGATTCATTAAACTGGTTATTTCTTAAAAAAATATTCTATCTTTTATTTTGTTTTTCAACCTATGAATTATCCAATAATAATTTTTTTTTATTGAAAAAATTATTACAAATAAATATTAACATGTAGAAGATTTGAAAAATTATACGTGTAATTTTTTTAAAGTATTTTTTTGTAATAATTTAATTTTAGAATCATGTTTTTGTTTAAAGTTATCTTTTATTTCAATAAACATGGAAGAACCATGTTTTCAACAATATAAAATGAGTTTCAAGTAAAATTTTATCCTTATTGATGTAAAACTAGTGATAATGGTTACTAGGTAATGGCAATTACATAACCGGTATTTTTAATTGATATTTTATCAACGGCACATTCAATCTATGCTTGTTAAATACTTTTAAAATAAAGTACACAATATTGTACAATTTACATTGCTAAAGTATTAACAATTTAAATATTGTAAAATATTGTATTGCCAACTAGCCAGCATTTGCTTGAATAATTTAGTGACTCGCGAGTGGCCATGGAATCCACACGCATCGCTTTTACTTGCTGCTACTTGTTGTTTGTTGCAACGATTTCTGCTGAAAGTAATTTGATATATTTTATTATTTAAATAATAATAACTAGCAACCTTGCAGTCAATTTGTGATTTTCGTGACATGTGAACTATAATAAAGAAAAAATTTTGGTTTATTAAACAATTAATTTTGTTAAATTGCATGGTATTTTCTTAAATATTGACATTTTTAAAGATATAAGCTCATCCCGATGTTACACTCATCGAGACCTTTCATTTGAGTACCCACAAGCATTTTTAATATATTTTTCATATATAAATATATAAAATATATGAAAAATTGATGTGGGTACTCAAATGAAAGGTCTTGATGAGTGTAGCATTAGGGTGAGCTTATATCTTTAAAAATGTCAATAGTTCTCAAGATACAAGATAATTTCTTAATTATCGTAATTTATCAATATTTTCTTTGGTAGCTTGTGAAAAGTCAAAATGTCCAGGTCCTATTGGATATTACGAAGCTTTAAGTTGTACTCCTGTCTATCATTCCCCAGAAGATTGTTGTCCATACAAATACAATTGCGATGATTTGTACAGTAGGTCTCGAGAAAAGTGTTACATTAATGGGGGTAAGGAATATAAAATTGGAGAAATGTTGAAAGAGGAAGATAGTAATCCTTGCGATATTGGATGTGTCTGTCGTAACGGTGTGGATAATGTGTAAGTGAATTAAATGAAGAGAAAAGATATTTTTTTCCTCTAAATAAAATTGGCTTTAATAACTTTACAATTGGATTTAATACTTGACAATTTTTCTTCTTTATCAGTGCGGTATTTAATTGCGCCATAGTAGATTGTTTTCACGGACCTATAAAACCCGGCTGTTATCTGCGTAACAGTCCATCTCAATGTTGTCCCGGTGAAGAAGTTTGTCGTAAGTATTTAAGAATATAAACTATAGCAAGCTTGCAGTCACTACGTGACTGCCGTGACTTGTGAACTATAAAGAAATAAAATTTTGCTTTTATTAAATATTGACTTTTGTTTAAAAGACCTTTCATTTGAGTACCCACATGCATTTTTATATATATATATATATATGAAAAATTGATGTGGGTACTCAAATGAAAGGTCTTGATGAGTGTAGCATTAGGGTGAGCTTATATCTTTAAAAATGTCACAACAAATTATCTTAATTAGTAAAAACGTATTTGTTGTGATTTTGCAGCTGAAAACCCAGAAGACAGATCTACGTGTGAAGTTGATGGTATAATTTACAAAGACGGGGAATATTTTACAGATCCATTAGACCCAGACAAAAATTGTGTCTGCCAAGAAGGATATGCTGGTAATTTTTTAATAAATAATTATCAGCTACAATTTCAATTGCAGTTCTTAATTTATTAATTTTATTATCAAGGAGAAAACGTAGAGCCTTTTTGTGTAAAACCAAAACATCCTTACTGTAGTCCAGAAATGCGTCATGCCTCAGATATTCATAATCATTGTGCTCCAGTTTATTATAGCACTCAATCACCCCAAACTTCTTGCAGCGTTTTTTCTCGATGCCGTAAGTATTAAATTATTTATAAAAAAATGTAATTTGTATTTAAATAAATCCGAAATTTTTTATAGAAAATTCAAAAGATGAAGTTATTAAAAATGAAGCTAGCACATCCGATTCAGGTACAGTTTATGGTTTTTAAATTTAAAGAAGAAATTTAAAGTATGCAAATTTTGTGTTTAATAATAAATATTTATTTCAGATATGACTTGTACATTCGGTAACTTTACAATGAATGCCGGAGATGAGCTCAATCAAGCAACTGATTACAGCTCTGTGTGCGTCAAATGTGTCTGTGAAGTGGGTCCACTTCCAACTTGCCAACGCTTACCTGACGAAGAATGCGATGTTACGAAGCATCCACCTTTTGACGATTAACAACCACAATTTTTGCATTAAAAACGATCGAATATATTTTTCAATATTTAAATATAAGTTGTTTATTCAGCGGAAGTTTCAAATTTTCATATATTTAGAATTACGAAATAATTAATTAATTGTAAAAAATAAAAATTTGCCACCTTTTGAAATTTAATGGAATATGATTGTTTATTTCTTCTTTAAATAATGAGATGATACTGAAATCAACAGACATCCAAAAATTTTTTTATTTTTATCAAAAATTATTCATTATAAAAAGAAATATTTTTTTTTAAAATTTGAACTTGTAATTTTTTTTTTATTTTCAGATGTAGAATTTTTTTATTGTAATTTAGATGTTAATTTAAATGTTATTTTTAAATTATAATTATTTTTTTTCTTAATCTTTGAATAGTTGTATTGATTTATTAATTATATCATAGGTATGTATTCACTTGAAAAATTAATAAATTATCGATTAAAAAATCAGTGTTATTTTTTTAAAATGAAAAAAATTATTTCCACCCATGAGAATTAAGTTAGCCGACATCTAAAAATTTTTAGAATTTTTTTTGTTGAAAAAATTATTACAAAAAACTAAAAATAAAATTTTATTTATAATTTTTTAAATAAATTTTTCTTGCTACGATTTATTATATTATAGTTAAAAAATTTATAAAAATTATCAGATGTCTGTTCAGAATATTCTTAGTTCAAGAAATTAAATCTTGAATAAAATTAACTTATATCAATCTATTCTTAACTTTTAAATGACATCTTCATATATAACTGTTATTGCAAAACAATAACATCCAAGAAATATATTTTCATAGATAACGTGTCTTAGCACACGTAATATAATTGCGCAAATTATTATATAATAAAAAAAAACTATTTTTCTTAGATTTCTTCTATTAATTCACAAATAATCATGGAATTAACACGTACTTTATTAACTTCCTTCTTTTCGTTACTTATATTAGAGATTTTAGCTGATGAAGGTAAAATAAAATTCGTATTGAATAATTTTTATCCCCGTAATATTAATATTAATTTATTTAAATAGATTGTGACAAATCAAAGTGTCCAGGTCCAATAAAATACTATAAAGATATAAAATGTAAACCAGTTTATAACTCACCCGAAGATTGTTGTCCTTATAAATATAATTGCGATCATTTGCAAGCAAGATCTCCCAAAAAATGTTACATAAACAACCATGAATATGAAATCGGAGATCGTTTGAGAAATGAAGACGCAGATCCTTGCAGTAAAGGATGTTTTTGTTCGGACCGAAGAGACATGTAAGTAAAAATAATTATTTTTATTTCTTCCCTGGGTAATTTTATTTCTCCTTTTTTATCTAACCTTTACTTCTAAAACTGTATTTCTTCTTTAATTAGAGCGACTTTTACTTGCGCAATAGTAGATTGCTTCACCGGACATTCATCAAATCCCAACTGCTATCGTCGTCGCCAAGCAAATCGATGTTGTCCAGGCGAAGAAGTTTGCCGTAAGTATTTTCTTCCTCTAAAAGTATATTATTTTTAAAAGAGTTTTTTTAATTAAAGAATTTTACAGCTGAAAAAGCGGAAGATATACCGACCTGTGAAGTAGACGGAAAAATTTATAAAGACGGGGAATATTTCAAGCCAGCTTCTGAACCCCACAAAAATTGTTATTGTGGTCCAGGATACATAGGTGCGTCTATATAGACAATTAATACTAATTATTTAGTATTTATTTATAAAATTTTTGGTTAATTAGGAGAAAATGTCGAGCCTTTCTGCATAACTCCGGTAGATATTTGTCGGACTGAGCTTAAATACGCTCATAATATTATCAGCAATTGCAGTCCAGTTTACTACAATTCTCTTGATCATTACAATCCTGAAGTGTTACATACTGGGTGTCCCATTGAATATAGATGTCGTAAGTGCAATTAACAATTGATACACAGAAAAAAAAAAAAAAATAATTTTAATCAAAAAGATAATTTTTATTTAAGTAGAAAAATTTTTATTTCTTCCCTGGTAAAAAAAAATTTTTTTATTGAATTTAAGTTGACAATTTTTTGTTGAATATATTTTTTTAAAAAATCAACTTTCAAAAATTTTTTGTCTTGATTTAAGTTATTTTTTTTCAGTATATATATATATATTGATATATTATTTTACCAAATTTTGAACATGTTTCTTTTAATCAAAAATTATTTATAGAAGATGAAAAAGATACAATCATAAAAAAAAATCCAGAAGTTTCTGATCCAGGTAAATATTTTTTTATAAAAAATTTAATGTTAATAATTGTTTTTATTTTTTAAGAATAAACATTTACCTTTTTTTTTCTGCAGACAAAATCTGTAAATTTGGTAACTTGGTAATGAATTACGGGGACGAAATTAGTCAACCTACAGGGTCTTCAATATGTACGAAATGTGTGTGCGACGTAGGGCCTACGGTTACTTGTTTGCATTCACCAAATATGCAATGTTAAGGACTAGACTTTTTGTAATAATTCACTGGCAAAAGGAAGATAATTTTTTTATTTATTGTATGACATATTGATAGTAAATATCTATTTAATGTAACTATGTTATACAAATAAGGTCAAATGATAAGAATTTAATGTTATTGGCAACTACATGTTTGTAATAATACAAATTTTTTGTTAAACAGTGTATTAGAAATTAAAAATTTAACAAAAAAACAAGTAAAAATTGTCAATTTACTATTTATTGTAACAATTATTTTCTAAAATTTCGTATTTTTTTTTTTTTTGTAGAAAAATAATTAGTTATTTTTTAACGAAATTCAATAAAAAATTTATGATGTATTTGAATTTTCTTTTCTTATAAAAATATCTTCTTCTATTAAAAAATAATATTTTTTAATTATTTTAGGCCAAGTTTTTGTTATACGCTAACTAGAATAATTATACAATGTATTGGCTGACATATTTATAGGTCAAACGATAGACAAAAGTAATTATAAAACAACTGATTATATATTATCTATAAATTAGAAAAAATATTCTAGCGATTTGTTAGGAAAATTTATTTTCATATTTACGCTTATAAAAGTATTAATATACAATTATTTTTTAATATTTTTCTTCAAAATAAAACAAATATACAAGTAAAATTTCTTTATAAAAATTTAATTAATAATTTTGACTGTCGGGAAGCTAAAAAAGTTTTATCAGATGTAAAGTTAAACGTGATGACCTCAAGTTATTAAAAAAGAAGATACAAATCTATAAATTTTTATTTCATGCACGTATACTATTGTACTAATGTATCCTTACAGACATACAAATCAAGTATCCAACACATTAACGACTAAGTATGTTTATATATTAATATTTACATTCATCTGGGTTATATAAAAAATCAAGACTGAGGATTAATTCACAATACTCGTTTAGCGATGGCATTGACGCGGAGTTTCTTTTTTGGTATCTTGTGTTTGTCTTTGACTATTCCCAGCTTAATAGCCGGTAAGTTTTGTCTTTAAAAATAATAATTGAGCAAAAATAAAATTAAATAGTTAATTTTTCGTTTTTAATAGATGAAGAATGCGATGCGTCAAAATGTCCGGGACCGCTTAAGTACTACGAAGACGTAAAGTGTAAGCCAGTTTACAAAACTCCAGACAGTTGTTGTCCTTATAAGTTCGACTGTGATCATTTGAAAGAAAGATCTAAAGAGACGTGTATGGTTAATGGCCATGAATATAAAATCGGAGATTTACTTAGAGCAGAAGATGCTAATCCTTGTGACATTGGTTGTTCATGCCAGGAAACTCTTGGAGTGTAACTATTACCTCAAATTTTTTTTATTTATTTATTAAATTTTGATTGACCATCATAATTAAGTAGATTATGAGTACATATTAAATTAATCTATATTATTAAGAGTATAAGCAAAATTTTGTGGTCAGTGTATTTATATAATAAAATGGATTTTTATGTATGGTTAAATTTGGTATCGTTATAAAAGTCTTGACCTGGAGTTATGCTTTTTCATGGTTTCATATCATTCTGACCAATAGTCAATTTATGATGATAAATATTTAGACTGCATTCGAAAATTCTCTATCTTTAGACACATAATTAAGAAATGACTATATATCTCGTGAACTATTGACATTTTTAAAGATATAAGCTCATCCCGATGTTATACTCATCAAGACCTTTCATTTGAATACCCACATCAATTTTTCATATATTTTATATATTTATATTTATTATATATATGTATATATATGAAAAATATATCAAAAATGCATGTGGGTACTCAAATGAAAGCTTTTAATGAGTGTAACGTCGGGATGAGCTTATATCTTTAAAATATAAATTATATATATGTATATATGAAAAATATATGAAAAATGGATGTGGGTATTCAAATGAAAGCTCTTGATGAGCTCTTAACATCGGGATGAGCTTATATCTTTAAAAATGTCGACAGTTAAAAAATTACAGTGCTATTTAACAAAAGTCATTATTTAATAAAGCAAAATTTTATTTATTTATAGTTAAGATAATAATACGTAATAATTTTTTTAGAGCACAATTTAGTTGCGCTGCTGTAGATTGTCCTGAAGAAGAAAATATACTTCCGGGATGTTATACACGTCAAAGTGCTTTGGATTGTTGTTCCAATGGAGTAATTTGCCGTAAGTACTTTGTTAGGTAGATTTCATAGAAATTTATCCATTGTGTTGGTTCTCCTGCTGTATAAGTTTACTAAAAAAACTGTCGTAATTTGTCTTAAATAGTTTTCTAATTTTTTACAAAAGGTATTATTAACTATTAAAAAAAAATCTATGAATAACTGAAAAATTTTTTAACTCTTCTTAAAAAACTTATTTATAAATAGAATGATTTTTTTTCCTCAGCCGAAAAGCCGGAAGATATACCCACGTGTCAAATCGATGGCAAAATTTATAAAGATGGAGAATACTTTAAACCAACTGCAGAACCTAATAAAAATTGTTACTGTGCTCCTGGCTACACCGGTAAGGAAGAAATAATTTTTTAAAATTTAGAGTAACTAAATATTGACAAATAAATATTAACATTGAGCAAAGTAATGATAATTCAATGTAATATTTATTATTTTTTATAAACATACTAAGAAAAAAATATTTAGCCATTAGTTTTTTCTCTGAAGACTTATAAAAAAATTTAATATCTATGAAATAATTTCGCAATAGTTTTCTGGTAAAAAAATATTATTAATAATTTTTTTTTTTTGATAAAAATTAGATTTTAAATGTTTTTATAATTAGTAAAAATAATTCTAGTCAATTATATTTGTCTTTAATGAATTAAAGAAATTCATTATTTATTTATTTAATTGTCCACAGGGGAAAATATTGAGCCTTTCTGCAAAATAGCAACAAATGTATGTGGAGCGGAATTGTATCATGCATATGAAATTCATAATGATTGTGTACCTGTTTATTATAATTCTCAATCACCACAAAGTTCATGCAGCTTTGCTTACAGATGCCGTAAGTATTTAATAAATTATTTAATCTTTAATTAATTAAGCCGTCTATTAATTATGTTGATTTTTTCTCAAGAAAATAAACATGATTCAGTTATTAAACGACTGAAGACTCTAGAAGATCTTGAAAATACACAAATGGGTAATTTATAAATATTAAATTTTTCAATAATAATAATAATAAAACTATTAACTTTTCAAATTGGTTTTAATTTAAGATTCCACTTGTAAATTTGGTGATTTAACAATGCAATACGGAGATGAACTCATTCAGTCAACAGATTACAGTTCCGTTTGCGTCAAATGCGTCTGTGAAGTCGGTCCAGTTCCAACTTGTCAACGTTTACCTGACAGCGAATGTGATGTGACGAAGCATCCACCTTTTAACGTTTAACAACCACAATTTTTGCATTAAAAACGATTGAATATTTTTCAATATTTAAATAACAGTTGTTGTTTATTTAGAATTACAAAATAATTAATTAATTGTAAAATATAAAAATTGGCTTCTTTGGTGATATAAAAGTTCTTAAAAAAAATACAATTTTTTACAACAGTGATCGATTAAAAAATTAAAAGTATAAGGAAGAAATAATTTTTTAAAATTCAGAGTATCTGAATATTGACAAATAAATATTAGCATTGAGCAAAGTAATAATAATTCAATGTAATATTTATTATTGTTTCTAAACAGACTAAGAAAAACATATTTAGCAATTAGTTTTTTCTCTGAAGACTTATAAATAAATTAAATATCTATGAAATAATTTTGCAATAGTTTTCTGGTAAAAACATATTATTAATCACCATAAAAAAAATTTTTTTTTGTAATAAAAATTAGATTTTGAATGTTTATATAATTAGTAAAAATATTTCGAGTAAATTATGTTTGTCTTTAATCAATTAAAAATATCTTAATAATAATAATAATACAGCGCCGTGTAGGCTATTATACACCACAGATACAAAGAGGATATTTAAGAAATGTCCAGTCCTTTGTATCGAAATGGTCCATTTTTAGACTCATGTCGACTGCAGTACCTTTGATATCTACGATACCTTCAGCATCAAAAGAAATAATATTTTGCGAGTTCGCTTGCTGGTATAATTAAGTTATTAAATATGCAAAAAGTCTGGGAAGTGAAAACTCCCGGAATAAAATATCAAAGTGAATATTGTTGATGATTTATTATTATTATTATGGCGCCGTAACAAAATAACCGCGGACAAAATAACCGCGACAAAATAATTAGATGACAAAATATTCTCAAAATCGTGTTGTGCCCTTTTAACATGTTTTTTATGTGTATTTATTCGACATTAGACCAACACATGAGATTGTTGCCATGTTTTGCCCTTTCTAACATGGATTTTTTCAGTATGTTTATCAAAGAATATTTTTTTCCAAAATATTTTGTCCGCGGATATTTTGTCGCGTCACCGGCCTGCACAACCTCTGCGTATAAGATTACTGCTTTGTCTTCTAGTTTTCTGCTGTGTTCTGACTCTTTATATACCCGAAGTAAGCAGATACAATTTTTATTAATTATTTTTCTGTATATTATAAAAATAATTTATCTGCAGGGGATAAATCTTATAATGGTCAGACATAGTTTTCTAAAAGTTAGTGACTGCGTTCCGCTTCTTGCAATCCACACCGTAATTGTTGTCAACTACGGTTGCTTTATAATGAATTTTGACAAGGTAAATAATCTTCGACTATTATTTTATTGATTTAAAAGCTTAATAATATTTTAGATTAAAGAATTACTTCAACAAGTTCATCAAGAATCTACATCTGATGATTTATCACCAGAAGAAATTGTTCTACTGAAGAGAGAAACTGATAAAGCAAACAAACTTATTAAAATACATACTGGTTAGTCATTAATTATAATTTGTAACTTGTAATTAACTTAAATTTATAAATTTTGTTTTAGGTTTTATCTACGTCACTGCAACATTATTTCTATTTATTTGCCCAACAGTGCCCAAAATATTAGACATGATTAATCCATTGAATGAGTCGAGATCCAGACTCGTTGTATATTATACTGAATATTTTATTCGTGATGAAAAGTACTTGTTTTATCTTCATATTTATGAGTATGTAATAAGTCCAATCCCGACGATTATCGCTTGTGGTTACAATGCGTTGTGTATATGCAGTTGTCAACACGCCTGTAATATGTTGTATATCATTGGGTATGTATTGATTTTTATTTAAAGTAGAACGTAGTTTCCCGCGGTTGGAGTTTACCCTCTATATACTACTGATAGTCTGAATTTCTGACCAATAACTTGATATGTCAGATATATATGTTCCCACCAACTTATCGACAGCAACTTCTGAATTTACAACTGTTGGTATGATACAGAAGTTAGCCGACGTTTTCAATTTTTTAAATCATTTAATTAGTACTACTAAATATTTTTTAAAAATTCCACGTGTAGTTTTTCTAATTTTTTAGATGTGAAATTTTTTTTTCTTATAATTTTTTTATTAAAAAAATTTATCGATGTCGGTTAACTTAATTTTCATACTGTTGGCTACTTTTTGTTACCGCAATATATGTATAGCTATTAAGTTTCTTGAGAAAAATTACTCAGAAAAAAAATTTTTTTTTTCAGTCCAAGTTTTGTTCTAGGTTTTTTTTTAAATTAAAATTTTTTTTTATTCTGATACAAAAAATTTCATCTATATTATATACAGTGATAAATTTTAATTCTAGGTATCGATTCAATAATATCGTTGCTACCATTAAAGAATCTAATACTAAGAAAGGTAGAACTGGTACTCAAATTATGAAAAAGTATATCACTGATCATAAAGCAGTTTAATGTGAGGTAATTTTGTTGACTCTATACAGAAGAAAAAAAAATTAAAAAAATCTAAGAGTTCACGACTTATCGGGGTCATTTAATTTTAAATTAAAAATATATATATATATATATATATATATTATTATTTTTTTAGTAATTCTTGATAGACTAATTAACTTAAGACTTTAGGATTTTTTTAAACAAAAAAATTTATTGCATTGTCACAATAAAATAATGACTGAGATAATTAATATTTTTAATTTTTTTCTTCATCACTTTATTTTAAATTTGCGATAACTTTTTTTGACTGGGTTAAAAAATTTTAAAAAACGTTCTTAATAGAGTATAAAAAGAGTATATCAAATTTCTAGCCTAATAAAAAATGGTCGGGTTTAAAAATTGATTTGGCGTGAAATGTCCTCAATATTTCAGGGTCAAGATTTTGTCAATAGATAAACATTTTTTCAGATACATCGAATTATACCACGATATGTCTTTGCAAATACTTCTTTAGTAGTACTTATCCTTACCGTAATTATACTCTGCCTAACAGGTATACAAGTAAGTTTTGAATTTTATAAAAAAAAAAAAAAAACTATGTGTTCCAAATAAAGTCAATGTTCGTTTATTTTTAATAGTGTCTTATAAGAATGGACGAGAAAGCAGAACTATTTCGTTTCGTATTAGCTTCAGCTGCCGTATCATTTCATACTTTTCTTCTTTCGACCTGCGGACAAAAATTTATAGATTACTCCGAAAATCTGTATATAATGACGTAATTAAACGAATAGATTAATAATATCTTTGGTTATTTGCAACAGAGAATGGACGATGTACATTGATGTTTCAAGTAACCTTTTTTTTAAGTAAATATATAAATTAATTAATAAATATTGTATTAATATTTTTCAGATGTCAAAGTGAATGGTATAAGCTACCAGTGAACTTACAAAAAGGAATGGTTATAGTTATGATTACATTTGCTCAACCAATCAACCTGAAAGTAGGAAAAATTGTCACAATTTCATTCGAGAATTTTCTAGGAGTAAATTATTATTATTTGATTTCCTTCTCCAATTAGTTTTGCAGCCTGATAACTTATTAATTAATATATATATAAATTGTTCTTTTCAGATTCTGCGAACGGCTATATCATATTTTACAGTTGCGCATAGTGTTTTCTTGTGATTTTCAACGTTTATAAAATTATTATTAGTATTATTTATTGTGTTATTGCCATGTAGTCAATGCTCTCGTACGATCATTTAATGATTACAAATTAAAAATGTAGAAAAGGTTCAGTTATAGTCTAAAGAAAAATACATTATACTCAATTATTTCTCATAATCATTATAATCACAAACGATTGGTCCTACTTCATTATCCAATATTTAAGAAATCCATGAAAAAACTCGCAGATCGAGCTTTTAAAGTGAGCGACCGTAAATTTTTTTATAGCACACGAGAAAAAAATTGTAGGAAAAATTACAATTGTAAAACTGAAAAAATAATTAACTCGAATCAAGTAAATAATTTTGAACAACTTCTTGCTTTTGATTTGAGTAGAAAAATTATTACGACAATTTTATTATGACAATTTGTTCCTTATATGTTACTTTCACAATGGAACGAACACATGCATTTAGTTTTCTTTGTAGAGCCTAAAAATTGTCCCTGGTAAGTGATGTCCGCATAAATGGCCGCACAATGATAGAAAATTTGGAAAATCATCTTTGTGGTTAGCTTTCTTTTGATTAGAAAGTACAACACATCGCCTATTAATCTTCAATTGCGCCAAAGCTCTCATATTATTTTTGCAAATAACTCCGGCAACCTGCACGGAAAAAAATAAATAGTAAACGCAACATGATGCAATCTTGGTAAATAAACATGATGAAATCATGTTGCAGCCACGTGATATGTCATTTTTCGGCTACTTGACAATCATGTTCCGATATCATGAGAAAAATCATGTGGCAGCAACATGATTTTCGTATAGCCTTATTAGCACAAAATTTTTTTCATGCTGCCATGACATGATTGTCATGTTTCGGCTACATGACAAATCATGTGGCAGCAACATGATTGTCATATTTCGGATACATGACAATCATGTTGTGGCAGCATGGGAAAGATCATGTGGCAATAACTATTTATTTGTCATGTTTCGACTACATGACAATCATGTTGTGGTAGCAACATGATTTTCATGTAACCTTAATAGCATAAAATTGTATATAACTTGAATGAACAAAGATATCGTTCACAAATGGTATAATTTGATAATTTACTTTTATTTACATCTACATTATTATATAAATCCTAAAAAACCTAGTTACTTTAGAATAAATAATGTTTGTTATTAAACATAAATATTTAGTTGTTGCAGCTTAATTTTGTGCTAATAAGGCTACATGAAAATCATACTGCTGCCACATGATTTTTCACATGCTGCCACAACATGATTGTCATGTATCCGAAACATGAAAAATCATGTTGCATTTACTATTTATTTTTTTCCGTGTGTTTGCAGTTATAATTGATAGTATTTCCGTTTGCAACAAAACGGAATTAATTTTGCTAATTTTGTTGATTTTTAATTTTTCAAAAGACGAAAGTAATCACCCAGTTACAAGCTTTGGTTCAGGTGAGTTTATATATAAAAATTGACCTTGAATCAGGTTATATCCATATCTGATAGCGCATTATAGTTATACCTTTTTATTTTGTAATAACTATATTATGTAATCTAATTCTGTGTTATCGTGAAAATATACGATTGTATCATAACAAACATATTAATTATCTTCCTCTAAAATAATTTCATTGTCATATTTACACATGAATACTACATATACATTATTATAGAGTACGCGTCACGTACTTTTTATCTTTCCGATAAATTATTGTAAATTGCTTATATAATAAATCCTTTTCTAAATTTTGCTATTCAACATCTATCACACTTCTTTTCATATTAAATGTAAATATTAAGCATAAACAATGCATTACGAAAATTAACAATAAGTTCTAAAAATAAATACAACTATCGACTTGTTATTATAAAAATTTTATTATTATAGTGCTGATATGCTCACATAGCACTTCTTGTTATGGTGAGAAGACAATTTCTACGAATGTAATTTTATCGTTTTTGCTCGATGAACACTTCATTTAGTTAGTTAGTCACAGCGTAACATCAGAACATAATTTAAGTCGCATTGGTATTCATATTATATATATATATATATATATATATATATATATATATATATGAATAGTATCATTATGAAATTATCTATTTTGTGGACTGTGTGCATCGTATTAATTACGAGTGTTTTGAGCCAACATTTAGAGCTATTCCGTCAAACTCGATTACTTTCTAGAAGTTTTTTTAGTAAAAGCGAATACGAGACTAAAATTCTCTGTGTTAGTGACAATTCGAGTGATGCAGTTGTTTTGAACGAGCCTTTTGACAGCAATACTGTCAGAGATAAGAAATATGAAGAAATATTTGGTAGGAAAAGAAAAAATTTTTTTTTATTAATTTTAATAGAGATATTGTTAAAAATTAAATTTTTTTTTGAGACAGAGCTTGAAAGTTATTCTAATAAAAATGGTAACGAGTGTCAAATTGAGATGGATTATTCTAAATGTTTATCGGAATGGAAAAACGATTCAAATTGGAAAATTTTATCGTCTTTAGAAGTTCCAATGGGTCCAGTTTTTGACAAACGTTGGGAACGTGAGTTTTTTTTATGGTTATAAGTTATAGTTATAACACATAAATTTTATTGTGAGTATTATTTTAATTGAATTGCAGGTTTTCAAGAGTATGAAAAAGTTATACACTTGGATAATGATTTCAGTTTTGTAACATCAGAACGAAATAACGTTAATTTTTTGTTTAACTCTAATGAAAATCAAAATGCTCTGGTGGTATCTATTCGTGGGTCATCTAATGCGCAATTTTTATTGTGTAAAAGTCCAAATTTTCGGAGTGATTTTTGCTATTGGCTTATTATTGGTGGCTGGAATAACACCATTACGGGAATTAGAAAATGCGAAAATGGAATTCCTGTAGAAAAGCCAGCTTCGGGATCTAATTGTAGTATTTTACGGGCTTCTAAGGCAAAAGTCAGTTTATTTAATTATTTATAGAATTTAATTATTTATAGATTGTGTATAGAAAAAAATTTTTTTTAACCAAATTTTTACTCTTTTGTATTGTCTAAGTTAACTAAAAAAATTTTAACTCAAAAAAATGAGACTTTTTTGAGTAATTTACTTCTAAAAGAGTTTTTAGGGGAGGAAGGGGCAAAATGGGGATATATCTTGACCCAAGAATTTTTCCTTTTTGCTCAAGAAATTCATTTTCTTTCAATTGGTGTTCTTGGTTCAAGATTTTTACTCTTGAGTCTAGTTAAAATTACTATTAGTGTGTAAACCTCTCATAACTTTTGTGCAATTCTACTGATTTGAACGACAATCGCGTTATTCGATAAGGTTCAGTGAAACTTAGACTTCCTGATAAATTTAAAATAACTTTTTTCTTTTAACAGCTTTTAAACAGATGTAACAATCAATTTCAAAATCTAAACAGTTCTTTAATTTAAAAAACGACGTTGACTGCTGCAAACCGCATCAAAATCGGGTGTTGTGTTGAAGAGGAATCGTACACTAATTATTTTAAAAAAGTGTCTTTTTCAAATAACGTCGAATTTATTCTCGAATTATTTTTCATGACATAATTTAACTATGAATGCTAAGAAAACTGAGTCAGAGGCTGCCAATTGCTTCAAAATCATTTGGTGCGCTTGTGAGATATTTAATTTAAAAAGTAAGATTTAAAATCTCCTGGCCTACAAGATTATTCAGTTTGAAAATATTTTCCTGAACCCCTAAACCAAGAAAGAAAGTGCAAAAAAATTATGAATCTTTTTTTTCGTGCTATTACTTTGAATTGCGTGAGAAACTGAGTCTGAAAAATTTTTGACCGGGAGATCCAAAAACTAGAATTTTTTCAAGAGAACTCTTTTTTTTTATCTTGATATTATTTTTATTCTAGCGAAACCTGTTAAAAATTACTACAAAGTTTTAAATTTTTTTTTGCCAGCTCAATATTTGTTAGAAGTAATATTACTTCAACTAATAATGTCTATTTTTTGGGAGATTTGTTCCTCTCTCTGGGTTCTTTTGTAGACTTATCGATAAGAAAATGTTATTTTTTTAACGATATTTCATTTTCGGATGATGAATTTTTTTTTTTTTCACTTTTTCAGAGGGTATCCCATTTTGCCCGCAAAAAAAAAAAATTTTTTTCTACGGCAACTTATTAAAATTTGATCATTTTTCTTCAATTACGACTGAAAACGAGAAAAATCAGCGTATTTAAGTCTTTAAAATCATAACGATTTCTTAAGTACCCCATTTTGCCCCTCCCTCCCCTATATGGGATAAAATTTTTCTAAAAAATTATAGATTCAAGTGTCGCTAATTTATAAATTAATTAGTTATTTTTTTTTAGCATTTTGCACTAGATGCGCTCGAGTGGAGAACGTTTATTATTACATGGAACACGGAAACTAAAACTGTAAATTTATATGATTCGGAAGAACTAGTATTGTCTTATTTTGACTCTGCAAATACTTTGTTTAACATAACTCGAGTTCTCTACGGAAATCCAGATCCTTTAACGCCAACATTATTCCGCTTTCACAAATGTAAGTAACAATACTCAATAATAAAAATTGTAATTCGTGGATTATTACATTAATTAAAGGAAATTTTATGTTTCTTTTCAAACAAGATAAGTATATTTTATCGAAAAAACCTGGCGCAACATTAATAAGTCCATCACTGACAACTAATTACGCCAATGGATTTTGCATTGACATTTTGATTGGATTGTGTCCATATTGTGAATTGGTGGTTAAATTAGTCGATGGGAACAGCAGTAAGAAAATATCTAAAACATTTTCAAGCTTACCTGATGTTGATGGTCAGATTTTGAAACACGGACTTCCGGCATGGCAGTACGCACGATTTGATGTTGCGGATATCAAAGAGTATGAATTGCCGTTGATTGTTCAAATTAGTACAAAGATAGCGGGGACAGAAACTGGGCCATATCATTGGGCTATTGGAAATATTAAAGAGTGTCCTTTAAAAAGTAATTAATTAATAAATTAAAATTATTAAACAATAAAACTCTTTTTTTTTTTTTTTTTCTCTTTAGAATCAGTCCGTCAATTATTATTGGTAAATAAAATAAACAATGAACTTGATGAGCCAAATATTGTTTGCCAAAAATTTTCATACAATAGATCTGAAGTAATTGTAGTAAAAAGTCGCGCAATGGCTTCTGAACCTCCAAGTAGGCGATCTACAAAAATTAATAAATTATAAATAAAATCGACGTTCTAATTAGCAAATTGTCTAACTCCATTTTAGAGAATCTTCCATTTGTACGATAAAACAAAAAGTAAAAAAATTATTTTCTCTTTAAAAACACCATTTAATATCTATTAGAAGTACAATATTTTCATTTTGATCATTCACATTATTTATGTAGCAATTGAACAATTGCTACATAAAATGTTAAAAAATCACCCTCTAAAAAATAAGGAGTTGGACCAATTGCTAATTAGATCGTCGGAAAAAAAGAAAATAATTTTCAAAATTGTATACGTGTTACAATTTTCTTCAGGTAATGCACATTCATGTAAGGATTCACGCATTGGAGTGCACTGCAAAATTCCTTGTAGCCAATATTTTGGTGAAAATTGTGCTAGGGTTTCAAAATGTGATCAATTTGGCTGTTATTGCTCTCAGGGAAGATATGGTTCAAAATGTGACAACGGTAAAATTCTTACTTCATTTCTTCTTGACTAAAAATGAAAGAATTTTCAAAATTAAATAAAGAAATTATTTTTTCTTTACAATACATATTTTTTATTAATAATTAAGAATTTTTTCCAATTTTTTAGAATGTTCAAGTGGAAATTATGGCTACCAATGCCAGAAAAATTGCCAAAATTGTATTGGATACGATAGTTCTCGATACTATGACCAAATATGCAATCCTTATGATGGAAAATGCTATAAAGGATGTCGGGAATTGTCAATGTTCTTCGTCCCACCGTATTGTAACGTCGGTAATGTTTTTTTTTTTTTTTTTAATAAATAATGATTTAATGAAGAAACAATTCAAATTTTGATCAAATTTATTTTTATTTAAGGAATATCTCCATTGATTCCGACCATTGATTATGTCAACGAAACGGCTGCTCGAGTGTCTCTGTCAGAAGTCGAAGTACATGAAGACATTGGACTGATGATAATTTTTGAAATAGATGTATGTCTTTAGATTGTTATTAATAATTGAGTATTTAAAATTTTTTTTTGATACTTAGTAAATAAGATAATTTTTGTAATTATATTCAGCCGGCGTTGGGTAAACAAAAGGGAGAAAGTATTTTGGCTACAGAAGAGCTTATGAATGATACTATGAAAAAAAAATACTTTGCAACGTTTACAAATTTAATTTCCGGGGAAAAATATTTTGTAAAAACGTTATACAATATTGAGCATGATAACCAACATAATTTATTCGAAAGTTTGAAGGAATCTTTTACAACTGCTTGTAATTGTAAGTTTTATTGGGTAAAAAACAAAATTGGAAATTACATAATTTTTTAAACTGATTCAAAAAAGGAAAGTTAATTATGAATTTTGAATTATTTTAGAGCAAATTAATTGTTTATTTATTAAAAGAAATTTTTTTGTATTTGGACAAAATTTTTAATGAAATTTGTTTTGATGTTCTTCTAACAGGGGATAAAAAGTTTGAAATTGAACCCAATGCAACAAGCTTGAATCTAATAAGGATACACGAAGAGGTACAAAAATTGTTAAAATTTTTTTGAACTATGAAATTTAATTTTTTTGAATTTTCAGAAAGATTATGTTTGCCCAGATGAGTGGTACGAAGTAAAAGTTACGATCAGGACTTACAATAACGAATCTGTGTCAATATCTTTATATCACATACCCAATACATTTCCAATGTTGATTTCAAATTTGAATCCGTATACGCATTATAATGTGTGCGTAAGTAATTTTGATGTCGGTTTTTATAACTGTCAAACAGTTTCAACTCTTGAAACAGGTAAATATTCTAGTTAAAGATAAAAATTGAAAGCAATTATTGATTAAAATTTTTAACTTTCTAATAGAGCCGTCAATAATTCAAAATTTACGAGTGAGGGAAATAAACGCGCATGATGCTTTAATCCAATGGTCACCTCCTCTAAAACCCAATGGAATTTTGGAGGGTTATCAATTAATGATTAGTGTAATAATTTTTAGATAATTCAAAAATATCTTTGAATTAGATGTATTACAAATTTTGGTTATAGGTAATGTATTATGACGGATGCCAACGACAAAATTTGAAGACGCCCGAAAATTTATTAATGTCTCATATTTATTTGAATATTTCTACTGATGGAGCTTCAATGTCATATCACATTCAAAATTTGACTTCGTTTGTGACCTATAAAGTAAAAGTAAGGGCGTACAATTCAAAATTTGGAATTGAAGATAGTATAATAATTACAACTGACGAACTTGGTAAGAATCTAATTGAAAAATTAAGTTAAATTTATACTTATTACCTGATAAAATATTGAATTTGAATTGGTAGAAATTCCGACGGAAACTTTTGATGACTTGAAACTGGAAAATGATACGATTTTATGGAAATATCCAAAATATTGTTCAAAAGTAACTGGAAGAATAGACGGCGCACGATTGTTTTTAACTGGTTTGAGTGAACATGTTCAAAACTACAGCACGAAGGAAGATGTTAGAGGATATTCATTTATGTTATCGAAGGGATACACTACCGGTGCTGAAAAGTATCAAGTTAGAATACACGTGGTTCATAGGTTGTACGGAATTCAAAATGAAACTGCATACAGTGAATTAATTTTTGTAACTAATCCACGTCGTAAGTTTTATTTAAAAATTATGTAAAAGTTATTTTTATTAACTTGAGAAAATTTTCTTTAGCTCCACCACAAGTTAAAGATTTGGAAATCATAGAAGTTGATCAGGAGAAGAAAACTTTTACATTAAGATGGCGCGAACCTAAGCCACCACAAAATGGAGAAATTTCTTATTATGGTGTTAAAATTTTATTAGGTTATGCTGATACAACCCATATAGTTTTGGTTTATCCCAATGAAACTTGCCAACTTTGGAGTGATTTGATTTGTAAAACAATAGATCAACCTTTTGGAGAAAGACAATATATTCAGGTATTATTATTCAGATGTGGTGAATCGATCTGAAATTTTTGTGGAAAACTATTGATGTATTTATCTTTCGATAAAAAAATTTTTGATTTAGGTAACGGCTTATAATAAAGGAGTAGAAAAACCTGGTCAAACCGCCCAAATTGAATACCGTCGACATGAAACAGGTTAGCATCAAATTTGGCTTTTCTTTAAAAAGGAAACTAAATAGCCTGCAAATTTTACTCTTCAATCCATATCAATTACAGCTCCAGATGCGCCTAAGATAATTTCACAACAAGAGGTAGACAATGGCGTAATAGAACTACGTTGGAAGCATCCTAACAAAACTGGCGGACCGTTGAAAAAATTTTTGATCATTGTAAAAACACCACTAACGCTTTTGGGAAATCAATTGATTCTTCTAAACAAAACTAAAGTCATTGAATATCCTATTTCTCAGTATCAACTCGAATACAGTACTCTTTTGTATCTTCTTCCATCAACACGCTATAACATATCAATAAAAGCAGCGACAAATTTGAAGCAAAGCAAAGTATCAAACGTAACTATCTTTACAAAATCTACTTTGGCATTTGAGTTTGAGCCGTGGGTTAAAAAAAATGACGATGGTTTAACATTCGATCTTTTCATTCCAACGATTGTTAACAATACTTATGCTAGTTCGGTTTCTATTAGTGTAAAAGGTGTTCCAGGGTGTGAAAACCCTAAAAAACCTCTATTTATGGTTAAAAAAAGTCTTGTCTTGGGGTATAATGAGACAGTATGGGTTGCCGCGGCGTTTTCGGTAAGATCAAGAAATTATTTTTCTTCATTTTTCTTCAATGTTTAATATATTAATTTTTCAGGCTTTTCTGAATGTGAATCGATCTTTTACCATTGGCAACAACAAAACTTACAATATATTTACTAATTGTCTTCTTCGTCCGGATTCTAAGTACGTAATTTTTCTTACAATACACTCTCCTTCGTTTTTCACATCACAAGAATCAAATAGAATTGTGTGGGAATCACAACCGATTTACACTGATAAAATTTACACACCTCATGCATATTGGTCAGTGCCGCTAATTATTTTTATAATTATTGGCGGCGCTGGTGGGATATTTTATTACGTCAGAATAAGGTTAGCAAAGATTTTGATACTTTAATGTTATTAATGTAGTTATTATTACTATTTATGATATTATTTTACTGCCATCTCAATCCTAAATGTGTGTTTTTTTTATTTTCAGACCAAAAAAAGAGTCAATAGCACCTCAGCCATTTCAAATGAATTCAGTTAATAGTACAATTGACAATAATAATTCTCATGTATTAACACCCGTAGATACAACTGACAATACAGATTTAATTTCAGTAAATTCTGTATTTCCATGAATTATATTAATATTTAAAATTGTATTTTCTAATTTAATTTATTTGTCTAAATTAATTTTTAATGTTAAATAATTTCAAAGTTATTCCCAAAAAAGTAAAAGTAAAAGTAAAAATTATTATTTTAAGTTGTAAAGAAGAAATAAAGCTAATAAATCATTACAATTGAAAATTATAAAAAAGTATTAGTGTTTTTAATTATATTATTAGAAATTTGGTATATTAATTAATTTATTATTACAACATTTCCATCAAGCGGTTATTTAGGTTAATGCAAATAAATTTTGCTTCTTCGTTATCTTCATATTATAATAATAATTAATAATATATTATTTATTATAAATGCATATAAATTTGCAGCAACGACCAACGGAGGATCATACTGTTATTCACCCTTCCTTGTACCGGTTATATATTGATTATTAATTTCTTCCTACGGTCGTAGTTCTACACGCTGTTACTCGATGCCGCCACTCGTATGATTATCATTTCTTCGGATTATCTATCCGATCTAGATTTAGGTTATCATATAAGAAGACATAATAACATAACTAGCGCGTGAAAATTCAACCTTTAATTTCCCAAGAATCTAACAATCTTGGAAAAATTTTACATTTTTCTTCTGCATAAATTAAAAAAATCAAATTTTAACATTAAAAAATTTTTCTACGTGTTTAGGTAGTAATAACGTGTTTAGGTATTACTGAGCCAAAAATTTTACGACGTGGACAAATGTACGGATTATGCGACACTTGAAATTTGTAAAACTGCCCCGTGTCCAAGCGTAAATGGGATTGGATTGATCCCCAGTAATAAATCGTCTTCTCAAGAATAAAATTAATTCCCCTTTCATTTTTTCTTCCTTTCTTCCTTTTTTCCATTTGGGTAATGTAATCTCCGAACCTTTTCGGACGGAGAAACTTTGTGCTAAAAAACTCCAATCTTTTCTTACGATTCGACGGTATAAATTTGTCATAAGTATGATCGAAAGTCAAACCTAGAAATTTTCACCTATAAGATAAATCATTCTTCAGAATTAATTTTCCGAAATTTGACTTAATTTCAATAAATAATTATACAACTAAATTTCAATTTCAAAAAAAAAATTAAATAATTAGAAAAATAAAATGAATCAAGTATTAATTAAATTCGAAGAAATTCTTTTTCAATAAAAAAAAAATTATAAAAATTATTAAATGTCAGCTAACTTAATTTTCATTTCAAGGCAATTTAAAATTATTTTTCTGGTTCAAGAATTTTTCTCTTGATTCAAATTAATTTTTTTTTTTTTTTTTTTTTTTTTTTTTTTTTTCAGAGCCTATGTTTGCACTTAACTAATCAAGAATCTTGTCAGATTTTCCAAATGATTCTATCAGAAGAATGAAATAATATAAAATTCTTGTATCACGGAACCGCAAGTGGCGGTTATCAGCGTGCTGCGATTGGTTGTGCCCTCTGACCCGCGAGTTTCTGACTCCGCCTCTCACTTACGCAGTATAACATTGACCGCCCTCACTTCATGTCTCTTAAAACATCTTATCTTACACTTATTTTTCCGTAAAATTCTTACTTCCCTTCCAGACGATATGACTCTTATACAGATCAATGTCTGTTGTCAAAATAGAAGATTAAATAAGTTATCGAAATGTATGAAAAATATCCTTGACATTTTGAAGACATTTCAAAGTGCCTCATTAAGTTCTTCTATTGTCTTAGATGAAAGAGAGGTCTAATTTGTCAAGACACAAGCCGGAACCTCTAATATCTAATAAAGCCTTAATATCATTATTCAAATGTTAAAGGCAGATCGACGATCCCAAATGGAAAGTTAACTTGATATAATTTACTTAAAGCGTGGGTTGAAAATAACAATTGAAACATAACAAACGCACATTACTCCATCAACCAACGGAAGGCGAGGGTCCAACTGTCCGCGGTTCTTCGTTTATCCCTTTGATCGTCCCAACAACTAATCGGTAAATACACTCATTTAAACTTGTTCTTTAATTTACCTATTTTTTATTATTGTATACACAAGTCGATTATGTGCATAATTATTAATAACTAAAATTACATTAAAATTTTTTAATAAAACAATAATTAAATCTAATGATTAAAATATAAGTCAATATTGATAATTAAAAAATATAAATATTCAATTTTAATATTAAAAATTATTTTCAGCAAAAAAAGAAAATTTTTTAGACTCAAATAATGTTTAATACATTTCATTTTAATTTTCCTAAATATTTTATTGAGTTTAAAAATTACTTCTTTAATGAAAAATTCTTCTGTTATATCTGCAATTAATTTTACATATTAAAAAATTTGAATTAAAATTTTTAGTGACTCTAAATTTTTTTTAAACGTCTTTTTCATGAATTTTTTTTTATAAAAAAATAAAATTTAATAAAAAAATTTTGATGACTTAAAATATTACAATATTTAATTATAATTATTATTATTATTAATTCAATTGGAGACCTTAAAAAAATTTTTTAAGAATATTTAAAGAATTATTTAATGCTAAAAAAAATTTTTTTAATAGAAATTAAAAAATATTAAAAATAATTTTCGTTTAAAAATAAAAATACTATTTAAAATTCTTATAATTTTTTTTTTTTCCAGTTAATTGAAATAAAAAAAGAATAATTTTTTTATTCAATTTTTAATAAATAATTTTTATATATAACAAAATTTCTATAACTTGTTTATTAATAAAAATTAAGTTTTAGATAAAAAAATGATTAGATCGATTGTTTATCAACTTCTGTGACGTTTAAAATAACAATTTATGATAGAGATAAAGGAAAAAATAAAACTATTAATTTATATCAAGACGAATTGTTGAGATGAAGAATAAATTAAAGAAACACACACGAAGAAAATAGAGTAGTCATATAATAAGGTCAGACGTAGGGGTTATCACAAGGGGCGAGTGGTATCTCTCTGAAGCTGAGAAGCTCGTGATAAAGTACATAGAGTCATACTCTGTGAATCCAAATATACGGGCAGAAGTTGTGGTTGGTACCTCGAGCATTGGACACAGTCCAAATCTTCCGCTCCGAGGACTACAAACTAAACTACTTGGGGGTGTAGTAGAAGTCCACTCATCTGCACTCCTATCCCACTAACAGACTTATATACGAGGGAACCCACAATAAGAGTTTTATCTCACCGATAGACCCGAGATAAATTTAATCATTTTATAATTTTTAAATTCGAGGAATATTTATGGGACGGTTTTTTATTTTAAGAGAAGCTTGTTTCAAGTTAATTAATTTTTTATTATCTAAAGGGATTGTCACTGATACGAATTTTATGAATTAAATTAATTTATATAGTTGTATGTTGTAGACCAATTCATACTGTCTTATCGATTTATTCAATGAAAGCTTCTGTTCTTGTTTTTAGAACTCTATTCTACGTAATCTGCTGCAATAAAACATTTTATTTCGATTTTTTATCAATTGAGGTATTCATTTATTTTTATCATTGAGATTGCATGGCCTTGACTATATTTTTCTCAAGTGAAAATTAAAAAAAATATTTTTTTTTAATAATTCATCTTTTAACAGAATCTAAAAAATTTTTAAATGTCAATTAATTTCATAATTAATTACATATGTTTTGAATATACATATATATAATATATATTTTCAAGATATAAGCTCATCCCTATGTTACACTTATCAAGAGCTTTCATTTGAGTACCCACATGCATTTTTTATATATTTTTTATATATTTTTCATATATACATATATATAATATATATGAAATATATGAAAAATTGATGTAGGTACTCAAATGAAAGGTCTTGATGAGCGTAACATCGGGATGAGCTTATATCTTTAAAAATGTCAATAGTTCACAAGATACAAGGTTATTTCTTATGTATCTAGACTATCCTGGACACAATTTTTTTTTATTTAATAATCTTTTAATAATATAAATTAGATAAATACATAAACAAATGATTCGATCTAATATAATAATAAATTAGCTAAGTAATGAGCAGCATTAGAGAAGCTTAAAATAATTAGTCAATGACAGAGTGCAATTTTATTAATTTCTCGAGTTTTCTATCATCAATTTATCGCACAACAGCAACAGGCAATAGATTATGTAGGACTATACATCTATATATATATATATATATATATATATATATATATATGTATAAATGTATGAATAGCAGTGTACGTGTTGTCTAACGTCGCATTTAATACAAAACACATAATATATAATATAATACATGTAGGACTAAAACTCGGAGTGTCTCATGAGAGTGATCGTGCATACGTTCCACGCGTGTCAACAATTATTTCGCAAGTATTGCGAAACGAATTGTTGGTCAATCGAAAGTATATACAAATACTTGTATGTTTGTTATACACTCGTGGCATTAGCTCAAGGGGAAGGATTCTACCACTTACCATTAGGCGAAAGTGTTATTCAATTAGATTAGATTAAAGACAAAGATGAGGTTTTTTATTTTTAACTAAGAGAAAATTTAATTTGCTTCAGCAGATGGTGCTATAACGAGTTTAAATAGTGTACATAGTTTAGAGAAATATATGTCCAATGCGCTGGGAAGAAGAGTAATGAATGCTTTGTTTTCAAGAGTTATTTCTGGCATGTCACCAAAATTCTTTATTTTTTTTTAATTCAATGCTTTTATTTTTATGAATTTATGAATTTGTTGGGTCAAAAATTTACAATTTAATTTTAATAATTAGGTACATTTTATTTTAAATATAATCAAAGAATTATTATTTTGATGATAAAAAAAAAAACAAAATCAAACATTTTAACAAAATCCCAATAGTAAAATTTTTTTTTAATATAATCCGATAATTTTTGATCGACTTATTTATTTATTCATTTATTTATTTATCATCTTTATTTATAAAAAACACAATTAAATAGTTTGTACTATATTTTACTCATATTTAATCCCAATATTATTTTGAAATTAACATTATTATTAATCTGAAATATAAAATATATTTCAAGTTCAATTATTAAAGTAAAAAAAAAAAAACCCATTTTACTTTATCAAACTTTAAATGTTTAATTTTGTTTTTATTTATAATAAAAATTTATCTAAAATTAAATATCAACGTTCTAATTAGCAAATGTTCTAACTCAATTTTATAAAATCTTCCATTTGTTTGAAAAAATAATTAGTTAAAAATTTATTATATCACTTTAAAGAACCATTTCGACGGTCTAATTAGCAACTGGTCTAACTCCTTATTTTTTAAAGGGTGATTTTTTAATATTTTGATACAGCAATAGTCCAATTATGAATTATTTAAATGATCAAAACCAAAATATTATACCTCTATTAGATATTAATAATATTAAATGGTTAATAGAGAATTTTTTTCGCTTAGTGGTTTTGATAAAAAAAAAAAAACTAATTTTTTAATCCGACGATTTGATACGGAGCTCTAGATCATTTGCCATTTGTACCTAATATAAATTCAGAAGTAAAGAATGTATAAATGGATAAATATGTAGATATAGTCGTAGTTGTAAGTTATAAGTTATAAAATTGAAAACCCGCGGCAACCGTGGAGGCTGCAAGAAGCCACAAAGTAGGAGGAGTAGCATCGATGGTTAGTTCCATATTACACATAACAGAAAGAGCGTACGCGACGGGGGTCAGCGGCAGCAGCAACAGGACAACACGAGACACAGGAGCAGGCGACAGGAGCAACTTGGTCCAGTCTGCAGGGACTTCTTTAACTCTTAAAGAACAATAAAAGGAGAATAAATAAAAATAATTTACAAAGTAAACATCCAGTGATCGGTGAGCTTGGGCACGTTTTATCCAGTCTAAACCGGACGATACACATAGACACATATGTCTGTATACATAAAAGAGTCACGGGACCAAAGGAACGAGGTCTCGGGTGATCGTTTCATGGAGAACTCCAGCAAATCCAGTCACGATCCTCCAACGATACACAAAGAGCTTTCACCCTTTGGCCAAATACTCAGTAGCTTCTTTTACTCATCGTGTACTATGTCCTTCTTTTATTTTTATTTTATTCTGATAAAAAGTAAGGAGCGAATATTTTTAGTCATTTTTTAAATAAACTTTTTATTCCGAAAATAATTTTAACTATCTATAAATATTTTTGCTATGTGCCCGGTGCTTTTTTCGGTCAATTGTTCTGTTTTTTATGCTGCTCACTTTTTTATTTTTGTGAATAAATTTTTTTTTTTTGCCAAATGCCAGTCGTCGCGGTCTCGGCAGCTTAGCTCGCCGGGCCCCGGGAATTCAAAATCGGCGTGCCCCAATATAAACAATTGCTTGGAACAAAATGACCAAAAAAATCGAGAAGGCACAAAGAGAAGATAAGAAAAAGAAAGAATAAGAGTTTAAATAACAAGAGTTAGAGAGTAAAGGGAGTTTAACTGAGAGAATCTCCATCAAGACGACGCCGCGACGAATTCCAAGCCACGCGATGCACAAATAATTTCTCGCTGGGGTGACAATCCAAGAATTGACTTTTTTTTTTACAGTCAAGTGCGTTTTACTTGGCTGCTTTCTGTTTTTTTTACAAAGAAATTCTTGTAATTTAATTTTTTTGTTGGAGAAATTTAATTTATAGAGTTTAAAAAATTTATTTGTAGAATTATTAGTTAATTTTTACTAAAAAAAATTTTTAACAAAGCTTAAAATTTAAAAAATTGTTTGTAATATAAAAAGTGGAATTTTCCCATTTTTTTCTAAAAATTTTAACTTTATAAGTTTTATTTTTAGTAAAATAAAAATTTGATATTCTAAAATTAACAAAAAGTCTAAAAATAATTTTTTATACTATAAAATTTATTATTTTTCTTCTTTTAACTTCACTAAAGTCCCTTAAATATTTTTTAATAATTGTTAATTAAAAAATAAATTTTTTTCCACTTAAAATAAGATCAAGTTTCTAAAACTAAAAAAAATACCCAAAAAATTTTTTTTTATTCACTTTATTTATTTTTCTCATAATTTTTTATCATTAATGCAACTCATCATACATACACTCGCACATTAACCCACCTATTCATTAATATATGTATAATATATATTTATACTCTTTTTTTTTTTTCTATATAATCATAATTATAGTAATAATATTAATAATAATAATTAATAATATATTTATAATGTAATATGTACGTATCGATACGTATAATTTTTTTATTTATACATGCACATATATTTTATTTATAATTAATCAATTATTTACAGTAATTACAAAAAAAGTGTTCATTACTCTTACTAAATGTCTTTATACACTCAATGTATCATACATACGTATACAAAAGAGGTCGGGATTAAGGAAAGGACCGACGGAATTATAATACATTAACAAGTGTCTTCAAAATTGCGTTTTTTTTTTTTTTTTTTAAATAGTGTATTCAATGTGAGCAAATGCGTTCCAGGCATGGTAAGGACGCTAAAAATCCATGGAATACATTTTATTATCATCATGTCAATTTATAAAAAAAGTCACACTTCGCGCGGGCTCGATCCCTGTCCACCGGCGCTAACTGTAAAGTCACGCTAGTGTCTGTTGCGTTTGTGATTAATTAAAATTTCTACTCAAATATATAAAAAGAAAAACAATATATTTTATTTACTTTTTATTAATCAATTCATTAATATAATAATAATAATATTATTGATAATAATAATAATAGTAGTAATAATAATAATAATAACATAAAAAATAATTCATATCTAAATCCTAACAATTGTTGACTAAAATTAATAAGTAATTAACTTGTAACATTGCCACATTTATTTTACAATATCATACACTGTACTCCGCATATTTTAACATTTTAAATCACACTTGCCTTTATATTTTATTTATTTAATCAATTTAATTAGGAAGCTATTAAATAAAAATGTATAATTTCAACTACAAAAAATAAACAAGCTTCCTTATTAATCAATTAATTAATTTGTAATTACAATTTTAAAACAAAAAATATTAATAAATATATCTTCAACAATATTTAATGGCGTAAAAACTATTTTTCTAACCAAAACATCGGCATAGATGTCGCGGACGTTAATTTCTAAGTTCCAAAATGGCCGTCTACATTGGACCGTAATTTTTTATTTATTTAATCGTTATAAACGTTAAATATTAACTCTATACAATTTTTAAATCCGTTTTTTAGTTAAAAAATCCAAAAATTCGGGCTTTTTTAGTCGTATACGCTTTTTTCGCTTTGGTAAAAAAAAAAATTTACTAGATTTTAATAATTTTTTGACTGTTCCAATTCCACATTTATATTGTCGAAGAATTAAAGTGATTTGGAGGTACCAGAGCATTGACCAAGGGCCATTTTATGGCCAATGGCAAGGCGATGGATAGTATGATTATTGTTATGCGGAAGCTAGCTGCCGCCATACAGAGTGTCACATTGTGGACATGTAGGGCCAGTTAAAACTGCTGCCGCTGAGCAGCATGTCCCGGATCAGGGTTTCTATCGGGGTTTTTCCGACCAGTCGGACGAAGAATAGCTGCTCGATCACCTGGGATGACACTGTTCTTAAAGATGGCAGTCTCAGGAGCAGTTTCCCGAACCGGGTTGGCTGGTTCGGATACTGTGTTCGGCAGTACTCTTCTAATGCACATTGAGATTTCTCCTGGAGGGACTCGATGTGCGCTACGTCTGATAACCCGCATGCGTCTGAAACATTTTGAAATAAAAATAATTTTAGTAAAGTTTTTTTTCATTTAATTTCAAAAAATTTTTACTTAAATATTAAGTATTTAATATGATCAATTAAAATTTAATTTTTTATAATGTATAAAAAATTATCTGAATTAAATTCAAGCTTTTTAAAGATATACATTTTTGAAAATAGATAAAATATCTATGGATAAATTTTTAAAAAATTTTTGAGACAAAATAAAACAATATTGACGAATGTCAATTGTCTTGATCGAAAAAATATATTCAAAATCTGTATTACTATATAAATATTTGGGCTCTGTCTGTACTTAAAATGTTGTACCTAATTTTTGAAAAGAAAATTCCTATAAACTAAAATAAATTTATTTCTATTGAATCTATATTATTAAGAGAATAAGCAAAATTTTGTGATCAGTGCATTTATATGATAAAATGGGTTTTTATCATTAAATTTGGTATCGTTGGAAAAGTCTTGACCTGGAGTTGTACCTTTTCAAGGTTTCATATAATTCTCACCGATAGTCAATTTATTATGATAAGTATTTAGGCTGCATTCGAAAATTCTCTATCTCTAGATGCATAATCAAGAAATGACCTTGTATCTTGTAAACTATTGACATTTTTAAATATATAAGCTCATCCCGATGTTACACTCGTCAAGACCTTTCATTTGAGTACCCACATCAGTTTTTCATATATTTATATATATGTATATATGAAAAATATATGAAAATGCATGTGGGTACTCGAATGAAAGCTCTTGATGAATGTAACATCGGGATGAGCTTATATCTTTAAAAATGTCAATATTTAAGAAAGTACTTTAATTTAAAAAAAAATTAATTAAACAAAATAGTATTCAATAAAAAATAAAATGTTTAATGGTTTAATTCCTTATATTATGGTCAAAAGTATTTTAATTTAATTTTATGAAGAGAAGAGTAGCGGTTTAAAGGATTGAAATAGGGAGTAAGAGGTTGAGAAAGATTGTCGACGTATGTAAGACACTGAGACTGAGAACTCGTAGAATGTTAAGACTGAAAAGATTATTGAGGGAGACTGGTGGTCACTGAGAATCAAGATTGGTTAATTTACGTTAAGTTGTGTTGTATTGCTGATGGGGATCCAGTCGAGCAGGCGCCAGGGCATTTAACGGTTAACGCATCTACCAATGTAGCAATAATAATACCAGCACGTACACGGGAATAATAATAAATGTATAAAGTGAAGAGATATCTAATGGGTGGAGATGAATAACGTTGGCATTGCTTGATTATGAGACGCCACTCGTCGACGCCGCAGTTACTCCAATTGATGGGATTAATTGATGACAAGCTGACGACATCCAAACATTATATAGAGCACCAATCTCCAACATTCTTCGACATTTTTATTCTCGGCGTCCACATTCACGTTTAATATTTTATCTCAAGATTTATTGCGTGACCCCTCGGTTTCAATTTTAATTTTATTTTTTTGTTTATTAATGTACTTATGCTTATGCTTATTAATAAACATTGGCTGACGAATTAATTACGCTGATCGAGGAGACAAATAGGCTGGACTATAAATCATGATGAGGTCAATATGAGTTACTTGTATCTCGGACTGATTGCTTGTTCATTAGGTGTCGGAATTATATTTATGAAAGTATGCTTGCTTCATTTATTTCAATACTATTCATCAACATTAATTGAATCTTAGTAGTTAAATTTATTTTTTAGTTTATGGAATATTTTTTATTGATTAACATATTCTCAATTATTGAGAAATAGAGTAATAAAGAAAATTATTTGATTTTTTTGTCTACACTTTTATAATTATTTTTTTAAATTCATAACTTTATTGTTAAACATTATATTTAATTAATATTTTTTTCTCCGTTTTTATGCATTGACTTTTGTTAGATAGCTCTGTACTTTCTTAATTAACTATTAAAATTTTTAAAGATATAAGCTCATCTTGATGTTACACTTATCAAAAGCTTTCATTTGAGTACCCACATGCATTTTTGATATATTTGTCATATATAAATATATATAATATACATAAATATATAAAATATATGAAAAATTGATGTGGGTATTCAAATGAAAGGTCTCGATGAGTGTTACATCAAAATAAGCTTATATCTTTAAAAATGTCAATAGTTAACAAGATACAAGGTCACTTCTTAATTATGTTCAAGACTTTTGTAATGAGACTAAAAAAACCGATTTTATCATATGACTATCCTGGACACAAAATTTTTCTTGTTCTCTTAATAATATAGATGCCTGATATTAATATTAACTTTTTGTCATAAGTAAATAAAATTTTCCAGGCGCATAATAAACCACCCAAGAAGTTTTGACAAATTTCGCATTTATACTCAGTTGAATAAGATTTAGCATATATATTTTTTACGTGCATCAACTGAACCGAGGGTACTGGTAAGTGTGTGCATTGAGACCTTATGTATAATACGCACCCTCGACTATGGTCATTTATCGTCTCGACGCGTGCTTACGACGCTGCGACGAATGAAATGAGTGCCGGATATTCGTTATTCCTCACTCGAAGATATTCACCTCCGCATAATATAATAATGGCTAGCGTTAAATCGAACCGAGGCGCCAAATTACTCATTAAACCAATAATTACCGACTAACACTGTTATTACCTCAAATTAAATTACTATCACTGCCAAATTTTTAGGACTACATCAACGCCAATTTGGAGGTTTAATAGACCGGGTCAATAATATTATAGCGTTAGAGTGTGATAAGAATATTTATTTAAATTTAGTGAGGGTAATATTTCTCAGTCGTCTTCTCTTGGCAGTCTGAGAAATAAAAGGCCTGGTAGTTTAAAAACGCTTAACTTGTGCTCACAAGCACACTCTAAAACTTTTTACGCAGTCTCGATCTTTAATCACGACTCGACCTCCCATTGTCAGTGACGTCACCTCTGCAATTCGTAAGTAAGATTGTAATAGATTGCTACAGTGCTGTTTTGTGTGTAGAGCCTCATGATGATAATAATGATGGTAGTGATACTGGAAGTACTCTTTGCAACGCTTCAGAATAAATCTCTGCTGTTTTGATCCCGCTTATTTTTCACCTCATTTTTTTTTTTACTTTTCAAATTTTGTCAACATTATATTTAGCAAATAAATTATTTTTTATATCTAGAAAGCTGAGCTATTTTTTTAAAAATAAATATAGTATCGTTACTCAAAAAAAAAAAATCTTGGCTCAAAAAATTTTGACTTTTTTCAAGAAATTTTTAGTCTTTGTTCAATGAAAATTGAAATCTAGATACATAATTAAGAAATGACCTTGTATCTCGTGAACTATTGACATTTTTAAAGATATAAGCTCATTCCGATGTTATACTCATGTATATGTATATATGAAAAATATATCAAAAATGCATATGGGTACTCAAATGAAAGCTTTTGATGAGTGTAACGTCGGGATGAGCTTATATCTTTAAAAACGTCAATATTTAAAAAAGAAGAATTAATCTTCACAAAATAAATTTCTTCAATATTATTTATCTAAAATCATCATTAACCTTGATAAATAACTCATAAGACCTCCAAAAATAGACCCAACAAACACCTAAATTTGAATTTACAATCCCAAAGAAAAAAATCTCGACAAATTAGTCTTCAAAATTTGTATTACAACATAAAACGCAGGTATAGAAGCCATCAACTTCCAAAATCTAAATCCAACAAAAAGCAAAAGAATATTTAAAGATGGGCATAAAGAGTATATCGGATATCACAATATTGTGAGGAAGCGCCTCCGCTTGGAATAATGCCGGCATAGCAAACGATTATCATAACAAGAACCCGAGTATTTGGTAGTGGTATCATCGGGACGGATCTCGACGACACGCATTACCAGGGCGTTAGACAATGTGACACACAATGACACATAACTAGGAATTAGGCAACTCCAACTACGAGGTGTCATACACTGAGCTCTCTCATTTACAGGGTAGTCTATATGGTCTTTCATTTCACCTCGAGCAACCATGGTGCACCCGTTTAGGGTCTTATTGTAATGTTAATGGGAACAATGCCAATCCCATTAGCATGGCATATCGTGTATATAGACAGGGTTACCTATGTTGGCCCCATCACTGATTATGCTTCCGGATATATCGGATCAGGTAGTAACTTTTTAGGTATATAAACCCTATACTATAAAAGGTCAATTTTTTGCCAAGATCCGTGTCCTTTGTATCCGCGGTCACCTCCGCCTACTTAATCCTTTTTCGAGACCCTCAACCGGTTATTCTTCCTTCTTCTCTTCTGTGCTGTTGTTTTTTTAACACAAGCCGTGTAGTACCCAGTATTGGGTATAGTATCTGGCAAAATGATGAGACCTGGGAGGCTAAATGTCAACAGCTAACGGCTTGGGTTTTCGGGTTAAGGATTATACACTGTTGTGTTCTGTTATCCTATATGTTATAGGGTTGCTTTTGTTGTGCCTCACATCCACCATAGGCTGGGTGTCATCCACTGGTGAACTATATGTCCTATACAGCTTCTTTGATGGTATGTCCTTTGGATGATGTCGAAAAGGTCACGTGAACTTGCCGGATTATGACGCCAAGGTTTTAAAAGGATATATGAACCTGTGTGATATGAATTCGGTTTTGTTCTGGACACTTCTCTCTTTCTATTCCCCGTCAATGTTATGTGTATTTTATATCCCAACTGCAACGGATTGCAGTTTTGTTGGTAACTAAAACTATGTAAACGTTATGGCCAAACATACACGGTTTAATGCCAATAGTGTGTGAAATAATTCGGGTATGCAAAGTATGCTGACGGCCGAGGCATGTCTATTGATAAATTCACTGGCCACCGTAAACAATGCCGCAACAATGTCGATTATATGCGCGGGGCTTGTTGATGGCTTCGCTCCTGCTAACTCTCGTTCCTGTTAAGGTTCTTTGGTTGTTATATAATTAATAATTATTAATCGGACGCTGTTTACGAGCTCAAGTTCAAACTGCGGATTTATTGATTTATCTATTGTTGTTTCCCTCGGGGTAATTGGAAAATTGCTGCTGGTCATTTTGCTTATGGTGTAAGTTGAAATTGTTTTGGGGATATTGTAGTGGTAAAGTTAATTTTATTAAAATTATTAACTTTAAATAGTAGACTTTACCATTTGATTTGTCTTATGAAAAAATATTTGAATTATGTAAAGAGTAAAAAATACTTTTTTTCAAAAAACCATAACAGGCTTTTGTAGATAATTTTTTGTAGTTTTAAATTTTTCATGTGATAATTTTAGCTTTTTGATTTGACGTAAAATATCCTGATTTATATTTAAAATTTATGTATTTGTGATAAATAAATTTGCAGGTATTCAAAATTTAAATGTGTATATTATAAATATCCAAGTTAATGATTCTGAGCATAATTTATTGATATAGTGTTGTAATAAAATAATGCTCTAGTTTACAAAAAGCAACTAGAAGATTTAGTTGTCAATATTAGATTTTCAGATCAAGGTTGGATCTCATAAGATTGTTACAAAATATTTTTATCTATCAATAACAATTTGATTTTATTGTTTTTTTTTTTTTTTATTATAAAACTAGTACAACTCGATGGTTTTCTATCAAGGCTAAAAACGTTTAAAAGTTCAACCGGAAAATTAACAATTAATTAAAAATTTTATAAAATAGTTAAATTATAATTATATCACAATAGTTTAACAAATTAAAATTGATAAATGTTATTTTCAAAGAATCATTAATTTTTCTCTTATAAATTATTTAAATCTTTATATTTAATTTAAATTAATTAACGAGTAAGGAAATATTTATATTAATAATCCTTAAAAAATATGACATAATATAAGAAACATTTGTTATAAATACTTTATAATTCTCACATTTATATTTAAATCCTAACATGCGTTTCATTAATATTAAATGCAAATTAATATTTATAGGATTAATCGTATAAATATGAACTAAGAAATCTTGATTTTATTGAATTCGTCGGAATGTTAATAATTATTTCATTTAAAAATCTAAAATGTATATTTAATTTTTCTGAATCGCATCTTCTTGATGTTATTTGCATGCCTTTCACTTTTTACGCGCAGGGAATCCGCTTTTATTTCTTTTTTCAGAGCAAGTGCTACCAACGTCGCTATAAAAACCAATGAAGACCGCGTTAAGAATACATTAGCTGCCAACAATACAATAATTTCTTTCGGAGTTTGAAAAATCGATAGAGTTAATTAATTGAAACAATACGTCACTTTACAGCGGATAAAAAAACGAATTAATGATTTGCAAGAACAGGTGGTACGCACAGGCAATAAAATGTAAAAATAAAAAACCCATTAGGTTAAGTTGCGCGCGCAACCGTTTACATAGTAGGAGGATATATAATCGATGTATTTAATATACTTCGGTGTAGTGTGTAGTAGTTTTATCATTCCTCAAGCGCTTTTAAACATAAATAGCTTGAATAAAATCTTAAATATTATTTACTATAATATTAATAAATTTTTATTTAAACTTGTGCTATTTTTTTTTTTATTATTAACTAAGATGGATAATCGTTCATGCGATAGTCCTAGTAAGTGCACATGGGTCCCAAATGCCGAAACGCCGCATATCGTTCGTAATGTGTATGTATTTAGTAATACATTTTTTTGCTTAGTATAATATTCATAAATAATTTGTTAAATTAATTTTATTTTATTGTTTCAGATTAAATGATAGGAAAAAAGTATTACCGGATATTTTAGAATGCATAGGTCAAACACCTATGATTAGGCTTAATAAAATTCCTAAATTATTTGGAGTTCAATGTGAAGTCTGTAAGTTGCGTCATCTTTGTTTTTGTATTTTATTAATTACATATTTGCATATATTAATTTATTTATTATTCCGATTGGTTTAAAATTTAATAAAAAAATAAATTATACTGCAATTGAAGATTTTTTTAAATAAATTCATTATTAAAAATATATATATATATATATATATATATATATATATATATATATATATATATATATATATATATATATATATATATATATATATATATATATATAGGNGTTCGTAATGTGTATGTATTTAGTAATACATTTTTTTGCTTAGTATAATATTCATAAATAATTTGTTAAATTAATTTTATTTTATTGTTTCAGATTAAATGATAGGAAAAAAGTATTACCGGATATTTTAGAATGCATAGGTCAAACACCTATGATTAGGCTTAATAAAATTCCTAAATTATTTGGAGTTCAATGTGAAGTCTGTAAGTTGCGTCATCTTTGTTTTTGTATTTTATTAATTACATATTTGCATATATTAATTTATTTATTATTCCGATTGGTTTAAAATTTAATAAAAAAATAAATTATACTGCAATTGAAGATTTTTTTAAATAAATTCATTATTAAAAAAAAATTTTTTTTTAATTCTATAGTTAGAAACTTTAAAAAATTATAAATGCAATTTTTTAAATTTAAAAAACTTTGAGGATTTTTACAAGTTTTTTTTTAATAAATTAAATTATTGCAAAAAAATTTTTTTTAATTCTATATTTAGATAATTTAAAAAATTATAAATGCAATTTTTTAAACTCAATTTATTGCAATATTTTTAATAAAATAGAGATTGTTTTATCTAATTGAATTGGCGTATTTGATAGAAATATTTTGCCTTGAAAAATAATGCATTTACATTGTGTTATTATCGTAGCAGTTATTTCCATTGTTGACTATTTAGATAACATTTCTTGTTTTATTTTATTTTATGAAGAGCGTTGTAAAAAAAAAATATATTGATAGAAATATTTCTTGCTTTAAATTTATATTAATTAAAAAAAAAATTAACTAAACATTTTTTTTTTTAAATTGAATGCAATTTTAAATATTAAAAAAAAATACTTGGAATCTTTTAAAGTTTATTATTTTAATTGGGAATTATTTTCATAAATAAAAATAAAAATATTTCAGTTGCAAAATGTGAATTCTTTAACCCCGGTGGATCTGTAAAAGATCGTATCGGTTATCGCATGGTCCAAGATGCTGAAGCCAAAGGATTACTGAAGCCCGGTTCCACAATAATAGAACCGACAAGTGGAAATACCGGAATCGGTTTAGCGATGACTGCTGCTGTTAAAGGGTATCGTTGCATAATCGTAATGCCGCAAAAAATGTCTAATGAAAAGCTGTTTACTCTCCACGTTCTCGGGGCTGAAATTATCCGAACACCAACCGAGGCGAGTTGGGACAGCCCCGACGGGCATATCAAAGTCGCTGAAAAGCTCCAGAAGCAAATTCCTAATAGTATTATTTTGAATCAAGTATGTGTCTACTTATTAAACCGCAATAGTAACATTTTCAATGCTTAACAATACTTTTTTCAGTATCTTAATCCCGGTAATCCATTGGCCCACTACGATCAAACTGCCCAAGAAATCTGGGAACAATGCCAAGGAAAATTAGACTATCTGGTTGCAGGTGCTGGTACTGGCGGTACAATTACTGGAATAGGTCGCAGATTGCGTGAATTATCTCCGGAAATTAAAATTGTTGGTATTGATCCGCTTAGTAGTATTTTAGCAGAACCACCAGAGCTAAATAAGACTAATATTACGTTTTATGACGTTGAAGGTATTGGGTACGTATTTTTTATAAATAATTCCCATCAATGAATTTTGTTAAATTGCACTGTACTTTCTTAAATATTGACTTTTTTAAAGATATAAGCTCATCCCGATGTTACACTCATCGAGAGCTTTTATTTGAGTACCCACTTGCATTTTTGACATATTTTTCATATATACATATATCTATATATGTATAATATATATATAAATATATAAAATATATGAAAAATTGATGTGGGTATTTAAATGAAAGGTCTTGATGAGTGAAATATCGGAATGAACTTATATCTTTAAAAATGTCAATAGTTTACAAGATACAAGGTCATAATTAAAAATAATTTTTTTCCAAATAAATAATTTTCCTATTCGTAGATATGATTTCATACCAACCGTTTTAGACCGTACGGTTATTGACAAATGGATGAAAACTAATGATCATGAATCGCTAAATATGTCAAGATTGCTAATAAAAAACGAAGGTATATTATGCGGTGCAAGCAGCGGTGCTGCAGTTTACTCAGCAATGAAATTAGCTAAAGATTTGCCGAAAGATAAGAGAGTTGTGGTCGTACTTCCCGATGGGATTCGTAATTACATGACAAAGTTTGTTTCCGACAACTGGATGATAGCACGTGGATATATGGTAAGATTCAAACACTAAATTTCATCTTGTAAATGTATACTATTAATCTATAATGCAATATATTATTTATAGGATCCACCAGCTCCAGCAGGAAGTGAAAGTTGGTGGAATAACCCCTTGCCGGCAGAAATAATCACCAAGCCAACAACTTTACTACCCAATGCAACTTGCAAAGAAGCGTATGATAAGTTGAAAAAAGAATCTTGCGATTTTATTGTGACTGTTAATGCCAGCGATAGAGTCACTGGGTACATTACGCCGCAATCAATCAGAGCAGGAGTGATGAATGGCTCCGTTAAGTGGTCTGATACCATCGAAAAAATTATCGTTAAACAATTCTATAAATTATCCGACACTGCCAGTCTTGGTCGCGTTGCTGTTACACTCGAGAAAGAACTCTTAGCTGTCATTATTAAGGACACTGAACTTGGAGAAAAGTTCGTTGGAGTTGTTACTCAGGAAAATGTTTTTGAGTTTGTTTCTAAATATAATTTATAATTTTTATATTTTTATTTTGAATAAAATTAATCAGTTTTTAATAAATTTTACTGAGTTTTTTTATTTTAAGAATAAATATTATATTAAAAAATCTATTAAAGGTTAATTGCTTTGTGATTATTAATGAACGTCATTAATAAAAGTCTCAAAAAAAAAAAAAATAATAATTTACTTAGTCAGATAATACAGCAATAAGTGTCTCGAGATGAACGTAAAGTCTACTAGTATTATGTACGAACATAGTATATATGTGCGTATATAACCCGGGGAAGTAAATGCGGTAGGACGCGTGCTCGGTGCGGTGATACAACCGTGGCAGTTTCATTCGCGCGTGGGCGCGTAATATATTCCACTGGGAACTGGGAATAGACAATATACAATATACAATGTGCGGAGCACGTGGGGTCTATAGAAGCCAACTGAGGCGCACTCTGAGGAGCTTGCGGCGCCCTAATATCTACCACCATCAGATCCTTTCTTTATCTAGATATTTAAAATCATGTAACACCGTAACGAACCGTTGACGTGACCACTGAATGACAGGGCCAGTGGTGTCTCTTACCCTCTAAAATGTCACACATTCCCTCATACAACGATTACATAACACAACATAACAACTTTTTTCATGAAAAAATTTATTGGTATGGATTTTTATGAAAAGTTCTCATGAAAATTAGCCATATCTAGCTTAATACGCCCATTTGTAATTTTTTGACCAAAATTAGTGTTGAAAATCTCCGATAGAGGGCTCATGATCGCTAAATTGTCTCGCTATAATAGAGTTAAGTTCGAATATTGGCTGTTTGAAGCGCAAGTTAGCAAGGAAAAAAAAGAAAAGAGACTTAAAGTTCAGTTATAAAATAAAAATCTTCTTTTTATAGACAAATTTTTACTTAATTAAATGAGTTTCACAAATTTTAAGCATAAAAATATAAAAATTTATGAAGAAAAAAAAAATAATTGAGCCAAAAAGCAAGAAATCACAAAATAACTACATTTAATTAAATTTTTTTTGTTTTATAATTTATAAATAATTTAAGATCATGAAAACTATCAATAAAGAGATTTATAAAACTTATCTGACATTTTTATCTATTTTATTTCTATCAAAAATGAAAAATTATTTTTTTATTGTTATATATGATCTGATATAGCCATATCATGATATATATAGCTTGGCACGTCCATATGCGACTTGATATGGCCATATCAGGCCTGATATATGTTCGTATGTAATTTTTTGAAAATCTTAAAAAAACTACAAAATTACAGTAAATTATTTTCTTATTCACGGAAAAAAGAAAAATCGAAAAATTACATTATAAATAAAGTAATAAGGATCGCTTCGTATAAAAAACTAGAAAAATTGCAGTTCGCAATAACATATGTTAATTTTTAGAGCTTTCAATGTAATATTTACATTATACAATGTAATTCTTAAAAAATTTGTAATAATTACAATCTGAAACTGTAATTTTTCCAGTCATGTTCTGATAAATAGCGTGACATGGTCATATTCGAGCAGATCAGACCACATATGGCCAAATAAAAAATAATTCCAGGGATTTCTTGCGACTTATTCACATTCTAACAGTAATTCTAGCTCTGTATAAAAGTACGGCAACACTAGAGACCAGAGAGCAGAGTATCAGGCTGGTAGCCCGGGGTGAAAATGTCAGCACCCCGAAAATGTCAGCTTACCCTCTATCTTTTGGACGGATCGCGGCAGAGACTGTAGACTGTAGACTGTAAATTGAAAAATCTTGATTTCTCTTTTTATGCTCGGCGTTTAAATGTGGATGTAATGTATGTGGATGAGCCTGGTGTTTTATTCTCTTTTAGTTGACGCTCGGCTGGGTGGTTATCCGTTATACACTAGGATAATAATTTCTCTACCTCTACCTCTGGAAGAGAGAATTTAAAACTTAAACCAGCCAGCAGAGCATCAGAGCTCATCTCAGTATCAGTTCGGCCTGGAGCTTAAGACACAGGTGATGATTTTTTGATGGTGTTCACTCGAGAGGGCGCAAGAAATCGTGTTCCGTCACCGCGGGCGGTCGGATGGGTTTCACGTCACGCCGTCACCCTTTACTTTATTTTTATTATTGTTTACATTTTTTACTGCCCGGTTTTAGTTTGTCATTACTGCTCTCGCTATTGTTGTGAACTCGGAGGAAATTTAAACGGAAAATCTTTAAAATTCTTATTATTGCTTCCGGGGTCTTTAAATTATCGTCTTTGATCTTTTTTCGCCGGATTTTATCCGGTGGAAAAATTTAAATTATTTTTCAGCTTTTATTATTCGAAATTTTGAAGCCGAGAGTGTAAAATTAGATATAGGGGGATCATGTGTACAATATTCACACCTAACACATCGCTGTAATAGGTAGAGGTATGAGTTCATGACCTCGAGGAGTTCACGGTTGTAAAGGACGGACAGTGAGTCGAGATACCCGCGGTGAGCGTTAATGAAGCTGTCTGAAAGTAAATCTCTGCTTTTATATTGTGTCCATATATAAATGTATAATACCACTGGAACATAACTACAAATATTACTGAGTTATACGAGTCACTTTAAAAAATAATACTAAGCCGAATAATGTCTATATTTTAATTATAACTTTGTTAGAACAAAAAATCAATTTTTTTAATAATTGTTAAAAAAACTTAACAATAATTTTAAAACAGATTGATAATTTTTTTTATCTAAAAATCAATTTAAGGATTAAAAAAAAATAAATTTGATTAAAAAAAATTATTTTTTATTTAATTTCTTAATCTTAAATTAAGAAGAAAATTTTTTTAACTAAAAATTTTGAACGAAAATAATTATTTTTAATAATTTAAATCATGTAAATAAATTTTTAACCAAGAAATTTTTCTTGACTTGATTTTTTTTGGCTATTTAGAGAATAATAAAATTATTCCCTTAGTAAAATGTTATTATATTGAATTAAAAACATTGTTTTCGAATTATTAAATATTTTCCCGGTTCACTTTACTTAAAAAAATGATATTCAAGAGTCAAGAGATTTTTTGTGAGTGAAAAAATGTGGTTTCGAACGGATGTGGGATATTGATTAGAATAAAGAATAGATGTGAATGATATTCAGCGAGAAAAGATGTAGGAAGCAATTGGTGAAGCGATAAATCTAACGAGGCGTGCCGAGCAGACGCGCCGGCTGCTGCTGTCCTACGACTACGTTTTATTTCAACCTCGACGTAGTTGTCTTTCTATATCTACACATATACATATAATTTATATGTATATATACTGGCATAGGTGAATCCTTATGCTCCTGTGGCAGCCGTATGTAGTTATGGTGGTGGGTACGCCCAACTTTGACTCTTCGTCATGCTGAGTATGTAAGTAAAAAGGAAGTAGTTGAAATATGTTCAAGATAATATAACCAAGAAAAAATATTTCAATACATCAAGTGTCAAAAAAATGATTTTGTTTTTTAAAAATTATTTTTCCACCACTCAAAATTCTCAAGCAATTATTTTTAGTCATAGCGAATAATTACTTTTAATTATCTATATTATTAAGAGAATAAACAAAAAATACATAATTAAGAAATTACCTTATATCTCGTCAACTATTGACATTTTTAAAGATATAAGCTCATCCTGATGTTATACTCATCAAGACCTTTCATTTAAGTACCCACATCAATTTTTCATATATTTATATATATTACATATATGTATATATGAAAAATATATCAAAAATGCATGTGGGTATTCAAATAAAAGCTCTCGATAAGTGTAACATCGGGATGAGCTTATATCTTTAAAATATATATCATATATATATATATGTATATATGAAAAATATATAAAAATGCATGTGGGTATTCAAATGAAAGGTATTGATGAGTGTAACATCGTGATGAGCTTATATATTTAAAAACGTCAATATTTAAGAAAGTACATTATTGCTTATATTGTTTTTTTAATTAAAATAAAATCTATAAGATGAAAATTTAGTTTTAAAAAAATCATCAGAAATATTTTGAGGCGTGCAATTATGAATTTTTCCAATAAAAAAATTTTTTTTTCAACTTCAAGGTCACGTGATTGATAAAAAAGAATTATACAACAGTCAGAATGACATGTAGATAAAGTGAGAGTAGAATGACTACATTGAGCGGAGTCAGAATCGAGTTAGCCGCATGTCATTCGAACAGACCGCGCTTGATACACATAACCGCTAATATAATTGCATTGGATGCGGCTCACGCGAGGGTTGCCTGAGGGTGACCTACCCCTGATAAAAAGAACCCGAGGGGTCGTATCGTCTCTCCAGCAGTTTCTCTCCGCGCTCTTTAACGCGGTCCAATTGTATTAGAGGGAATAATAAGAGAAAGAGATGTGATTCTGCTGGCACTCGTGCAAGCTAAGCTCATAGATTTCATCCCCTTTTTGTTTCTCTACTCTACATGTATGTTTTTCCTAGCATATATACATATAGATGTACGAGAGAAGTGTTTTATTCGACACAATCGTGATTCGCGCCTCAATTGTCGTTCGCGGTCAGTTGTCAAACCACTTTTATGTTGTATTGTACTGCTGGAGTCGAAAGTCAAAGGATCAAGTGTCATTTATTTTGAGACTTATTTTTTTTTTATTTGATTTTGTAAAAACAGCAAATGATTTTTAATTATTTATTTAAAGAAGAAAAATAAATGTTGACTCATATCGATAGTCTAGGAATTAAATTTAGTATTTAAATTTATTAAACCGATGATCGCATTCACTTCCGGTAGAATAAATTCTTTTAATAAATTATAGTAACTGCTTTTGTTTAGAATTTAAAAAATTCATTAAAAGTTCTTTGACTTCTACTGTAAGGTTTTTTTATTTCATTAAAGTTTAGTTAGTATTTTGTAAATTATTAACCCACATCAGGACGCGATGCTTGTAATATAAGAGTTAAATTAATTGTTAGCAAAACAATAAAAATTAACGAAACAGGATAGAAAGTAACCGTTACAAAT